AGGGTTAGACGGCGACGTGGTGAAAGGAGAAATCCACAGTTTTTTGTTGAAAGACATGTTCATCATACTGTTGGAGTTATGGTTTGGGGTGCTATAGCTTATGGTTCCAGGTCACCTTTAATCTTCATCAGAGGTAACATGAACGCGCAGCGTTATATCCACGAAGTTCTAGAACCCCATCTTTTACCCTATCTTGACACCCTGCCAGATCCAACTTTCCAACAAGATAATGCCCGACCACATGTTGCAAGAGTCATAATAGACTTCTTTCAACATAATGATGTCACATTGTTACCATGGCCACCAAGATCTCCCGACTTATCCCCAATTGAGCACGTGTGGGATATGATGGGTAGGAGATTGCTCAATTTGCAACGTCCTCCTCAGACTCTAGAAGCACTTCGAGAGGAGTTGGTGGTTGCCTGGAATGAGATACCACAGGAGGACATTGACCACCTGATCAGAAGCATGCCTAGGCGCGTTGGAGAATGCGTAGCACATCAGGGTGCATCCACACATTATTAAAGGTCAAAGGGCTTTAAAGCAGTGCAATCACTTTGAAATTTTTATCATTTACTTATTATGCTTCATTAAGTACTTATACAAAATTTTATTAAAATAAAACCATTTAAACTGGGTGTTCGGATTTATATGTCACTTAGTACTTATATGTATGATGCATGAATGGCGTCAAGGTGGCTGTTGAAGGCTTCAAGATAGCGTCTGGGCGCCATTTTGCAAATTGTTGAAAATGGAATGGGCGGTAGCGTGATGACTCCTTACGAGTACTCTATGGCCCCAGAATATGAAATCATTAAATCAGGCTGTGTTTTGACGTTCATTGTTTTTAAGCGAATTTGTGTAGTATATTTGTACATAAATGAAAAAAGCGCAGAACTTTGGCAGCCTGCAAGTACAAGATGGTCATTTTATGTTTCATTGGTTATAAAGTACTCATGATGGGCTTCAAAATAAAGTATGACCCCCATTCAACTCAGGAAAATAATTCAAAATGGCGACCAGCCGCCCCCTTGAAATTTTTAACTGTTATTTTTAGGTTAAAATATGGTATAAATATAAATAAATACAGTCAACTTAAACCAACACTCCCGCGTTATTTACCTAAATTAATCCACTTTACACCATTGGAAATAAGTTAGGCAAACACGCTACAGTTACGATGACCCGAGAACTAACCGTTCTGAATTTAATGCCGTCGTCGATTCGGCTGACCAAAAGGTTAAAAAGAGAAAAGGAAAAAGGGGAACAGGACAGCGTAAATCGAGCGACATGTCGTGCTCGGGGAATTTTCTGCCCGGAGATTCGGACGAGGATTTGATTGACTGGAAATTGGGGCGTTGAAAACTGTGGTCAGGTTGAAACAGTAAAAAGGCTGGGAAAGTTTTCTGGCTCAATGTACAAGGTTCATCCTATTTTTGTTACATAGAATCTACTTTTGAATAACGTTGTATATGGGGATTCTAATCCCACAGCTCAATTATTGATCCCACGCGTAATCCTGCAGGACCCCCACTCTTGAAATAATATTGTTTAATTATGAAAGATACAATGGTTTTCATCTATGTCGTACTTATAACTTTGTGTCACGTCACCACAATCCAAGTGATTCTTTCCATAAAAAAAAACCTGATTAATTTTTTCACGATTACTCTTCCCCAACTGGACCGACTCCAAAAAAATGGCGTCGTGTAGGTCAATCCTGTCATTTGCTCATATGGGATTATTCTCGCCAAACGGATCAAGTTAGTCAAACAGGCTCATACTACTATATTTTGCATATTTAGCGTGCTTTTCTGTACAAGTTTGGGGATTTTTAGGATTTGGGACACCCCTCATTTCTTTTACGCAGCTACGCTTTTACCCAATGTTATCTCTTGCCGATGGATGGCTCTCTCCCTTTACCTGAAAAAAATGTATGCGGATGCACATGATTAAAGCTTCACCTGGCGTGAATCAGACAACCAGAGAGACAAACGAAACTTCAAAAACAAAGTTTGAGCGATTCCTATTTTTTTCGTTTTTGGCTTTTCTCCCCGCCGCCACTGTACCGATTCTGGATTTCTCCATGTTTTTGGCCACTAAATTAAAACCACATATGTAGCCACAACGTTGGTAAAAATTCAATACTACATATAACCATAGAACATGAAAATTTACATTAGCATAGTTAAGCCGTCGGAAAAAAATCATGAAACAAATTTCCAGACGAAAGTTACACTTTATATCGATAGCGAACGTTCATGTAGCTGAGTCCATCAATCACTATTTTTTTCTATTCATTAAAGGGTCGTGCATCATTATGTTATGTGGCTACCATCACTGTGCTTGACATAGATATAGTCAACGCCAAACAAAGTGGCGTGCACGTCATCAAGGTGGGTGTGTTGAAAAATTTACATTGTTGCCAAACTTTTTGTAAAATAATAAAATTTATTATTTACATATCTAGGTTTATAAGCAATATTAACCTCAAATGAGAACAAAAATAATAGTATAATAAAATTATAGATCTGTACTTGCATAATCATTAAGTATGACAATTATTGATCAGATGACACTATGAAACTACCATATTTAATTGATAGCTTAAAGGTACTGAATAAAAATCCAAATGGGGTCCTCCAAATTTTATGCATGATATTTATTTTACAGAATTCATACAGAAAAATGCATTCTAAAATTAGGTAAGCTACTGGTGTAAGCTTTTTCTGTACAATAAAGTTAGTCGGAGTTTCTTTCTTCAGCGCTGTCTGAATCTGAATCTTCATCACTCTCAAAGTTGATTATTAAAGGTTCGATGTCTGGTCGATCAAAAATTCGTTCTCTTTCATACCATTTAAAAATTTCTTGCTCAGTATGTCGAACACTATTTTTCCACATGTCTGGGGTAACCGTTTGTAGAGCCTCGTTCCACATATCCAAACAGTCTTTTTCACTGTTACCATCTCTACCAATATGTCTGTTATAGTAACCTTTTGCTATGCCCCAAATTAACTCAATAGGGTTAAATATACAATGGTAAGGAGGCAGACGAAGAACTTTGTGCCCATGTTGTTCCGCCAATTCATCAATCACGTATATTTTAGGTGGTTTGTTTCTAAAAAAGCAGTTATTTTAAGAATAGGAATAAACAAAAGAAATATAAACTGTCGACCAAAATATATATAATTAAGAAGCATTATGTACCGAGCAACAATACTCAATAGCTCTGTTTTAAACATTGTGTTTAAAAATGGTATGTTTTGATTTGTCAACGAGTCTTGGATATTTTTTTTGTCCATGCATTGTTGGGCACTTTGTTCAATATCATGCTGTGATAAGGGGCGTTATCCAGTATAATCATAGATGGACTCTCCAATTTTTCTAATAACTGATGTTGAAACCATTTCAAAAAATTGTCCTGGTTCATCTCTCCATGGTAATCGCTCAATTTTGTTTTCGAAGAAAATATCGCTTCACTACCCTCAATAAACCCATTTTCATTTCCAGCATGTAATATAATGTATCTAAAATATATTAGTTTTAAATTTTATAGTGCAAATTGTGTAAAAGTACATACCTTTTACCATCTGTTTTAATAGCTTTCACGCTTTTTTGGTTTCCATTTTGCCAAGAGCGACCTATGGTCCCATTTTGAAATATCCAAGTTTCATCGAGGAAGACAAACTGGTATAAGGCCTCAACATTGGCTTGATTGTATTGCCTTAGAAATTCCACCCTTTTCAAAGCTATACTTGGTAGTTCCATGAGCCCTCGTCGCGGATTGTCCTTAAGCCACTTAAATCCAAGATCTCTAAGCAACCGCCTTAAAGACGTGGCACTACCATCAAATAATGCCCTATCTCTTAATCGAGACCATAAAGTTTGTATCGTAACTTGTTCTTCTGAAACCATGTGTAATATGACATTATAATTTAGTTAACAAATTAATGCAAATTTCTGATAAGTTATTATAATAAGATCTTACTTTTGTGATACATATTATAGATCACTTCTCGAATGGCACTTGTATCCAATGTCGCTGTGTTGGTTACACGTTTAATATAACTCCGCTTTTTCTTGGGCGATTCTAAATTTGCATCACTTTTCACACCCTCGGAAATACGACTAACTGTCCTTAAACTAATTTTTAAAGCAGCAGCAACACGCTACAAAAAATGAAATAAAATTTCACCATTATTAATATACATTACATATAATTATTAGTAACCTACCTCTTGAACAGCATTTAAAGGCAACAAAGGCCCGTTGTTGTCCCTTTCTTGCTCAAAGTAGTGCATTAACGAGGCCACGAGTTCCTTACACTGACTATTTAACTGTTTGTGCATCTTTATATACCAAAATTGCCTTTATCTACTCGTAAAATGAATAATTTTGTTTTGAAACAAACAGTTGTTGATTTACAGTATGCGGGGCCAAAGGATTTATAAAGATTTGAAATGCCACAAATTGATTCAGTGTCAAAATTAATACAAATGTCAGTTCCCAGTTTAAATAAGTTTCAAGGTGACAATGTGTCAACGCTGCGAAATCGGTTTAGTGCGTTTACATGTCGATAAGTGATTGGAGCGTTTGCAAAACATTTTATTTCGCATAATGCGTCTAAATTTATCAGAAAGCAACTTATGTGATATTTTAATAACAATGTTTATATGACTATTAACCATAATAAGAGAGTAATGACCATTTTACAATTTATATATCACATTAATATGAAACTGCAATAGAGCAATTGTTTGTGATAGAAACCTAGGCATTAGGTCGGGGAATTTTTATCGTGATGACGTGCACGCCACTTTGTTTGGCGTTGACTATAGATGTGATGTATGAAATCTGCTAGAAAAAACGAATATAGTAACATAGTTTGCTGTGTTTCAAATTGTAAACTGAAGATTTTTCACACTGGCCATTGAATTTAAACTAAACTGATTGAAAACGACATGATCACAAGCGGTAGTTACAGTGTCATTAGACAGTGCCTGAGAGTGGCAGTAGAAGACTTTCCTGCCAAAAAGACTTACGAATATGAATGACATGTTTTTTTGCGACGTACTCGTACGTGTCAAGTAACATCAAGAAAAAATGTATAACATTTTGGAAATTTTTGTGCGATAACAAAAGGTTCTTACTCGCTAATTTGCGTTAGAAGTAAAAACGCATCCTATTGAAAATCCAGTACTGCCGCACTTTGTTGACCAGCCCTTGTTATTTTTTAAAATTATCTAGATTTATACGGAATGAAAGATTCACACAAGACATGTACAAATAGCAAGATACTTCCGAATCTCCCTGTAAAATATAACAAATTAACAGGTAGCACTGTTTACTCGGATCATTTGCTAGTGGAAATGAGTAACGCTAACACGATACAGTTCTGTAAAACGTTAAACAAACCCAACAAGGCTCAAGAATCGAACATGGTGCATCTACAAGTTTTTGGTGTATTGTTGCTAGTTTCTGGATTAGATTTTATCGAAGCATGGGGAAATTACGGCGAAGGAAACTTCAACGGGAGTCGGAGGAGTTTGGATGAGGATATTGAGGAGGCTAGCAGGAGCGTGGAGAGGAGTTTGTCCAGGAAGAGGAGGTATTTGGTGTTTCCTGCAGGAAGTTCGCTGCAACTTGGTAATTCAATTTCCAAAAATGAGATATTATGTTTTTTGGACGTTCACTAAAAACTTGTATGTCTGTCAGTTGGTCTGTTCTGTTCACACAAGGTTACTACTTCTACGACCAAGGACGAAAGAGCTTTGTTGTTTTTGAAAATCGGTTTAGTAGGTGCAGAGAAAAACGTAATAAAAAGTTGACGATGTACATTTTGCAAAAAAATTGCCTACGATTTGTCTTATCTTTCATGTATATTGAAACGACATCCTTTGTTATTAAATCCGAAAAAGTTCAATTTTCTTCCGTTTGGCCCCAAAAGAATTCAAGAAACAATTAAACATAATTTCAACATCACAATTGTCAACGTTCCAATTAAAGCTTTAGAACAAGGAAATAACCTCGGGTCAATACTCGATTCAAAATTGCTTTCCCGAAAACATCTCGAATCATGGATATATGAAATGCCTATTCTTCACCCAGGATCCTGAATTCCCAGCGTAAGTATTAAAATCATGACACTAAAAAACTTTGTGAAAATCTTGTACTGCCACAGTTCTCGCACCTGTCACATAGAGGGTGTCCAATAAGTACCACGACCCACGACAAACTGAAGGAGAAGGTAGGCTTTGGACTGACCTCTCAAATAACAAAAACTTACCTATATAAATGTGTCACCGTTTTTGAGACATTGAATTTTTTCTTAAATTTAAAAAAACGAACCTTTTCATCTGTGGTCTTTAGCTGCATGTACAAATAAGGTTAAACTTTGCTCATTTTTTCTATAAAATACTTTTAGATAGTTGCTTAATCATATACAAATGCAATGTAGTTAAAAGATATTAAGGAACCAGGATCAAATAAGGACTAAATGGAACAATAAGAAAAGCACATTGAAAACTATTATTACACAAAACAGACTACCTGTACGAAAAAAATTAATTTTAATCAGAAGGATATTGACATTAGATCCAAAGTTTTTATCACTTCTCGTACCCATGAAAGCACTGAATATGAAAGTATCTTCAGCTCTCAAAAATCTAAGGAATATAAACAGCATTCCTCAGGAGTTTGTGGGGCTTAGAAGACACTTAAATCTTATATTTTTAAAAAACAACAAGAATGACAATATATATATATATAAGGAGAATATGATCATGCGGAGAAAAGTATATAACAACAGGTGGGAAAATAATGGGTAAAATCCGCAAAAAGGAGGAAAGTGGATTCGAGCAGAAAATAGGATAGGTAAACCGAGCGATACGCATTTCTGCTGGTTGGCTTCATCAGGCCCGAAATGAATGCACATATGAAACTACAAAAGTAGATACACATGCCCACACATCCGGATACGGGTGTAACCTGAGGAAACGAAGTTGGAGAGGAAAAAAACGACACACGAAGTCCAAAACAAGAACCAACCTACACATTGTAGTATAAAATGGCTATACGACCTCGAATTTTCAAGGAGACGTCTAACCACCACCACGCGGCCGGTTATAGCCACTTGCTGTGGTACTTCAAGCCCAAAGGATCTACAAAGAGAATATGATCATGCGGAGAAAAGTATATAACAACAGGTGGGAAAATAATGGGTAATATATATGAGACGTGGTCATTGTCGTCTAGACCAGTTAGTTGAAAAATAAAGCTTCCGCCTTTCGTTGGGTACTTCCAGCAATGAGGATTCTTTATACTTTATTAGCCTCTAGCTTTCAATGAACTTTGCCATCTTCATCAGGAGCTGCAATAACATTGAGAATATATAGCAACTATTGTGCAAAACGATTTTAATATGTGAGATTGTTGCTAAATGTTATTAACGGTTAGGTTGAGGGAAACGAAAGCTAAAATTACATCGTGAACCACCTGATGCTGCACAAAATGGTGTGCCACAGGACCATAAGTAGGATGAAACATATCACAGATGACAGAGGTTGGCGGTGTCAGTGTCGATGGATGGAACGAAAGATTTTTGTAAAATGTTGCCAAATCACTTCAGATGGTGTGATTTATCAAGATATGTTAAATAAGAATATATATATATATATATAAATTGTATATATACATATACAATTTTTATCCTCTAATTGGTTCAGTGAAATATTCAACTCATACTTTCTATTTTCATTTGTAGCATTTTTTTGTACCCTTGTAAGGTTAAGTGGAAGAGCACCCAATAAAGACAATTATTATTGTTATTATTATTATTATAATACACGGATCATGCACGAAATAAAGCAATATCGCGCAATTATGGAAAGGGACAACGTTGCCAGATGGACAGTAACTACAGGTAGGGCAAGGAAAGAATGTCTATGGGCTAATTGTATGGGCCTATTTGACAGACTTGATCCGTTTAATTTCTTTATTATGCATACACGTAACTGCCTTTCTTCTATGAGGATTTAAATTGCTCTGAACATGAACAGATAACGGTTTCGCGCAGGAAGTGAAGAGTCAACCTTCTTGACGTCATTATTTTTTTATTTTCAGTGTACTGCCTAACCATGCCATCGGTTGGAGTGGGCGCCATATTCACCTTCGGAGCGACGGCAGCTTTGGCATGGGAATTACCTTCGGAGCCGGACGAACTGATTGAATTGTTGGACAAAAAGAAAGGAAAAAGAACAACTACGGAGGCGCCGACTACATTGCCGGTAAGGCTGGAATAAATTCGAATAATTTCCAGGCACTCGAACTTTAAATGGACATTGATTGAAGTGGAAATCGGTCGACTAGACGAACGTTGCCAGATAAAAGTATATACTCGTAAGTAAAGAGTATTGTCAAGTCTGTTATAGATATCTCAAAGTCTTCGAAAGAAACTTAGTGAATTTCTGGCAAAAAGGAAGCATATATATATATATATACAGGGTTATCCAAATTAAGTGTCCACCATTAGTAACTTTGTTATTAGTGAAAATACAAAGTTGTTTGAATTAGCAAACTAGTAGCATTTTTAACGCTGGTAAAAATGAGAAATAAAAAAAAACAATTGAGAGTCGTTATTTTGATTTTTTTCAGTAAAATAACATTTTTTTAAATGGAAACCCCTGTATATTATATTTTTTTCTGTTAAAGCATCAAATTTTAAACAAAAAAGTTCATAATGACTTTTCCGCTAAAGTCAAAAATAAAGTCAAAATAACGATAAATATTTTTAATTATTTGCAGTATTATAATATTAAGACGGCTATGAAAACAACATGGCGTTCGCGATTTGACAGCATTAAGATAAGCGACAAATTGTTAAACTGGACATACTCGCAACTAGAAGGCTTTGGAAAACAATGATAAAATCAAATAATGTCAAACATTAGTGTAAATACTTGTTTATAAGCTTTATTGTGTCATTAATTTAAAGAAAAATGTTCTCCCATGAAGAAAAGTGTGATATGTTAGAATGCTATTTAGTGTGCAGAAAATCCTCCTTGAGAGCAAGAGAATACTACAGTGAATTATATCCCGCTCGCATTCAACCGTATGAACGATATTTTCTGAGACTTTATCGAAAATTTAGGGGCAACGAAAATGTTTTTGCTAAAACAAGGGCAAAAAAAGAATTCATAATAAGCGAGGCCACGGAAATTGCAGTTATTGGATATTTTGAAGCTTATCGTGAGAATTCAATAGCAGATATTCTCAAGGACTCTAATTTCAGTTATGGTACTGTTCAAAGGATTTTAAAAAAATACAAATTTATTCCGTATAAGTACCGACCAGTTCAAACGCTGTTGGCAGGGGATCCAGAGAGAAGACTTGTTTTTTGCCATTAGTATCTTAGCTTCTGTCGCCAAAATGTAAATAACTTTCGTTACCTTTTATGGACAGATGAATCAAATTTTTCAAATTCTGGAATGTTTAATAGAAAAAACCACCATTATTGGTCAAGAGAAAATCTTTTGTTAGTACATCCAAGAGGCCCACAAGTCCGTTTCAGTTTCAACGTTTGGTGCGGTATAATTGGTTCAAAAATTGTTGGCCCGTTCTTTTATGAGGGAACCCTAACTGGTGAAAGATATGTGGAATTTATGTCAGAAATTCTGTCTAATTTCTTAGACGAATTGGATCTTATAAGTAGACATCATCTGCATTTTCAGCAAGATGGCGCACCTGCCCACAACTCCAGAGGTACTTATCATTTTCTAAGTACTACTTTTAATGATTAGTGGATAGAAACAAATGGCCCAATACAGTGGCCTCCCAGATCACCAGATCTAAACCCACTTGATTACTTCTTGTGGGGTTACTTAAAGAACCAAATTTACAAGCGAAGGTACGATAACCTTGACGCGTTAAAGACTGCAGTTAGGGAAAAGATAACCCAGATAGATGGTAGGACCATACTTAAGACAGTTCGAGCAGTTGAAAAACGTGCCCAAAAATGTATTGAAGAACAAGGTGGTGTTTTCGAGCATCTTCTTTAAAAAAAATTGTTATTGTATTTTGTAAGATTATAAGTTGATGTTGAAAATAAAGTTTGTCGATACAATTTAATTGTTTCAGATTGGAGGCCATAACTTCAACAATTTGTAACCTAGGAGAAAAGTTATTGTAAGCTTTTTTGTTTAAAATTTGATGCTTTAACAGAAAAAAATATAATATACAGGGGTTTCCATTTAAAAAAATGTTATTTTACTGAAAAAAATCAAAATAACGACTCTCAATTGTTTTTTTTTTATTTCTCATTTTTACCAGCGTTAAAAATGCTACTAGTTTGCTAATTCAAACAACTTTGTATTTTCACTAATAACAAAGTTACTAATGGTGGACACTTAATTTGGATAACCCTGTATATATATATATTTATACATATAATATATATAATTATATATGGTTCCTATAACAAAAAGTAGGAAAATTATGGGCAAAGCCGCAAACATGAGGAAAGTGGATTCGAGCAGAGCAGAAAATAGGATAGGTAACCCGAGCGATACGTGTTTCTGCTGGTTGGCTTCATCAGGCCCGAACTTTGCTCATTATTTTCCTACTTTTTATTATATACCTTTCTCCGCATGATCATTTTCTCTTTGTATAGATCCTTTGAGCTTTAAGTACCACAGCAAGTGGCTATAACTGGCCGCGTGGTTTTGGTTAGATGTCTCCTTGAAAATTCGAGGTCTTCTAGCCATTTTATACTACAATGTGTAGGTTGGCTCTTGTTGTGGACTTCGTGTGACGATTTTTTCCCTCTCCATCTTCGTTTCCTCAGATTACACCCGTATCCGTATATGTGGGCCTGTGTATCTATTTTTTTAGTTGCATATATGCATTCATTTCGGGCCTGATGAAGCCAACCAGCAGAAATACGTATCGCTCGGGTTACCCATCCTATTTTGTGCTCGAATCCACTTTCCTCCTTTTTGCTGTTTTTCCTACCAAAATATAGTAATACTTTTCTAATAACTTTAAAATGTTCAATAATTTTTATGTGTCCGTCCTTTTGGTTTTACATTTGCAACAAGTGCTATCATCCACAGTTTCGTTTTGAAACACCATTTGGCTGCAACCTCAGCGACGACTCCTGATGATGGCATCATAGCGTGCCGAAATCTCGAGCTTATCGTTGAAAAAGTTTACTAAGCCTATAGTTTGCCAATTTCTCAATTAATAATTAATTGTCATTCTTGCCCAACTGGTCGTTGGCTATGACTACTGATCGTATATATTTATATATACGTGAGCAGTAGTCATTGCAATAATAATAATAATCCGGCATTATTTATACAAAGTATAAAAAGGCGAAGTGTCGCTAAAAAGCGTTTTTGAACTTAACCCATATATATAAATTAGTTTTTATTGACGTTTCGGCCCCCACGGTGGCATGTTTCGAAGTACAAATGAATGGCAATGCCAATATATTTCATGCCTATCTATCTACCAGGTGACAGTTCTTTTTTTACTTCCCACGCTATTGGCACTTGTGAATTGCTAGTTTAGAACCAATAAAACATGGTTTGGTTTTTGAGGGGTTAATTTTTAAACAATAATTTTTGGTATAATAATCAATCTTCTTGTAAAGTTGTACATCGTCTTCGAACAAATGTACATCCCAGACGAATCTGGACAGTAAATAAAATAGAGCCTAAAACACTTTCTTGTGGAACAGCAGAATTCAAAGATTGTAGACACTTTATCGTGGACCTTTACACATTTTGTCGTAATACGAATACGGATGTGCCCTAACCTTTGTATTACTTTGAATAAACTTAAGAACATATAATCTCGATCTAAATACCTGCTTTACTGATTTTCGACCTCGTTTTCAGCACCTGGTTTTCGATGACCATGATCCGCACTTCAACGACGTGGACTTCGATCATCAATCTTATTACCCTCCGGACGACAGTTCACCCCCGGAAAGAATCGATCTCCCTTTGTACGGATCCGCTTCCGGCAGCTGGACACCCCATCCGGTAGCGCGAAAGACATTCTATAATCCCTTTTTACGAGCGAACATAAACTACGGAGACTTTGGGAAAAATTCAATTTCCAGATCTATGAAAAGCGGAAGCGGAGGGTAAGTACATCTAGGTTCGTTTTTAACAGATTGTCTTGTTTTATTCTCGACATTCCGTCTAATTGATTTGTGACTATAGTAATCAACAAATGGCGTCAAGTGGATCGGGTGTATCCGAAAGGTTGGAAATCTCGAAACAGACGAAAATATGTGAATTGACCCAAACATACCTCAGTCCAAAAGTTGACCCTATTTTGGTCTGTAGTATCTCCAGTTTTAGAACCTTTCGGAGACACCCTATATACTGTATACTATACACGTCTACATCTAAAACTGCAACTTCGGTAAGTTGTTTGGGAGGTAGGTTATAATACGCTTTACTGGTTGGTCAAGGGTCCAATCTCTGTCAATCAGCATGGGTTCATGAGCGGCAGATCTTCGGTTACCAACTTGACCCTGATTACTCAGTATATCTCCCAAGTATTAGACACTCGGGGGCAAGTTGATGTAATCTATACAGATATTCAGAAGGCATTTGATCAAGTTGATTATTATGTACTTCTGGATCAGCTTAGGACCGTAGGCCTTTCTGAGGGACTGTTGTCGCTCCTTAGTTCATACTTGATACACAGAAGGTTGTTTGTTGAATATGGTGGTTATAGGTCGAGTTAGTATCAGGCCACATCTGGGGTGCCTCAGGGATCGAATCTAGGCCCCATATTGTTCCTGATCTTTATTAACGATTTGTCTCTTGATCTCAAGTGTTTGCATCTGTTTTTTGCTGACGTCGCGACGTTAAGATTTACGCATCCGTCGAGTCAATTGATGATTGTTTCATGCTGCAGGATGATTTAGACTTAATTTCTTCATGGTGCTCGCGAAACTGTCTTAGTTAAAATTTTTCTAAATGTAAAGTTGTGTCTTATACAAGAAAGACTAGTTATTCAATATATGATGATTATAACGTCAACGGTCAGGTTCTAGACAGGTGTTACTCTTTTAAGGACCTTGAAGTAACCTTTGATAGCAGGCTAATGTTTAGCGAACATATACTTAATGTCTCATCGGCTGCCACCCGACTACTTGGTTTCTGTATCAGAAACTGGAAGGGGTGCTCCAATCTCAGTACTTTAATGACTTTGTTCGTTACTTATGTCAGAAGCAAGTTGGAATATGCAACCCTGATTTGGTCTCCAATATACCTAAATTCAGATTCAATGATTGAAGGCATTCAACGTAAGGCTATTAAGTATTTTTACCTTAAATGTACTGGTTCTTATCCAGAAAGAGGTTTTTATCATCATACCCTTTTGAATTTTTTCGATCTAGATTCACTATCAATTAGAGGTAATATGTTTGTCTTATCGTTTTTATATGGCCTTATGCACAATCGAATTGACTGTCCGGAGTTACTCGAAAAAATATATTTCCGCATTCCTAGGCTTGAAAGTCGTCAACAATCAGCCTTTTATTGTCAAGCAGGTCGGACGAACGTAATGTTGAAATTGAACATTTTTCACGGATACTAAAGATAAATGCGCTAAGTTAACAAAGCAACAATTGAAAGATTACCATTGGGTAACATCACCTTTATTTTTTATTACGGCTGAAATTCTTTGGGGCATAGTGTTAACCAAGTTTTGGCAAAAATTTGGTGTAAAAGAATCCCATATTTCTTGAAGCTTTTATCTCAGTTCGGTGATTGTACGAGCAGGATGTTGTCGTAGAACCTTGGTAGTTGTGTTAGTCGACGTACTGTCAAACAGATTCTAAAGGCCCATAGTTTTCATCCGTATAAAATTCACCTGGTATAAGAACTTAATGAAGACGCCATAGATCCTGCATTAACAGCCATAATTGAAAATCAGAATGATTGGCGGTACATTGCGAATAGGTTGATGTTCCAACAGGATGGGTGCCACACCACATTACGCATTACGTGTTCGACAATATTTAGATCAGACGTTTCCAGATCGATGGATTGGTAGAAGAGGTGCCATTGAATGGCCTCTAAGATCGCCAGATTTATCACCTTTGGATTTCTTTATGTGGGGTCATTTAAAAAGCAAAATCTATGGTACTCAGCCAACATCATTAGAAGACCTGCGACAAAGAATTGTGAATGATTGCCTTCAACTTACTCCTCAAATATTGCATAATGTGCGGCAACGTTTTGAGCAAAATCTTTATTATTGCATGGAGATTCATGGTGGCCATTTTCAACATTTACTTGCCTAACGGGTCAGTTCATTCTTCATTTTTAAATTACTTTGCTGCCAAATGTATTGATCTCCACTAATGATGATGTATTAGTTTTATTTAAGCTTTAAATCAATACATCTTCAAAACTACTGAACTGAAGTACACTAATTTTATATCATTATAAAGGGAATTGAAAGACCTTTAAAATAATGTATCACTCGAACCCTCTTTCCATCTAAGATTTTGGGGAGGTGTCGCCCCCGCTTAGGGGGCTGCACGTGTTAACGTGATTTTTTGCCAAACTTGTGTCCCCCTCGAAAACAAAATCGACCAGTCTGAGCATTTTTCCAAAAAAAAAAAACTGAGCTGCCAGTAAATGCGTCTGTTTCGTTTTCGATGCGCCACCCTGTATGTATCTACATTCATAGAAAGGTGATGCTTGTATGAAAATCATATTGCTGTTTTGAGGGTGAAAACTTTTCTGGGTCACCCTATACATTTTACTAAAATTTATTATCAAATTTTAACTATATAAAAATTTTAAAATATAGGAACAAAATATACATCAAATAGCCTGACTTTACTGTTACGTACAGCCTTATGTTCAAATTGTTAGAATTATTAATCAACTTTGAGCAAGTTGGCGTAATGTGTTATTACTTTTGTATTACTCTGTATAAATCAGCAGTAAAAAAGCATCTAAATCGTTATATAAAATTAAATTACGAGTTTATAGAAATATGTAAACAAACACAAGGACCAAACTAACCATTCATAATCGATAGAATAAGTTAATTTTACTAATTTTCAACGGATGTTGATTCAGCCGGTTTTCTTCTATATTCCTGATGTTATCAATATTTTTGTGTCTGTAATAATCTTAATAATATAATGAACTCGGTATGATCAATAATAATAATATTATGCATCGATATGAACTCTGTAAAAATCTAATTATATGGTTTATTCACTGAAACAAAGCAGTTACTTCATATTTAGTAAATTTGAATGCCAACTTTAAGCAAAATAGATCCTAGTGGTACATTATTTTCTTCCATCCATTTTATAGCCTTTTTTGAGGTATGGCACGCTGCACCATCTTGCTGAGACACAAAATCTTGGCCGGATGTCAAGCATTCTTCCATCACTGGTAAAAGCAATTCTTCTAAAATTGCCAAATATTTGTTTGTATCCACATTTCCATCAATAAAATGAAGTTTTCCTACTCCTTTTGATGACATACTGCCCCAGACCATAATGGATGCTGGAAATTTCACTTTTCTCTTCAGACAGTAAACATGAAACGCTTCATTTCTTTGGCGAATAACTCTACTGCGACTGTCACCAACACAAACTTCGAATCGGGCCTCATCACTCCATTGTATTGCATACCATTGTTGAGGTGTCCATTGTCTATGTTCTTTAGCCCATCTAAGGCGATTTTTCTTTTGTAGTGGAGTTAATAGTGGCTGTTCTTTGGCCTATAAACAAGATGTGCAACTTTAGGGTTTTTACTTCACCTTTTTTTATAAGAAAACTTACCTTGCAAGTGCTAAATCCCAGTTTGTGGGCCTCTCTATGAGTTGTGGACCCCGAAATTCTCCTTCCAACAGCGTCACTCCACAGAGCACTTAATTGTAAATAATTGGCACGCTTGTTTTTCACGATTATTCTTCTTAATGCTCTTCGGTCGGAATTTGTGATATTACTTTTTTCATATATCGTGGCTTAATATTAACTGAACCAGTTACGTTATATCTTCTAACGATGTTTCTCACACTGTACCGCGATAAGACTAACAAAATTGCAATTTCTGAGTTTGATTTCCCAGAATTATAAAATGTAAAACCTTAACTACCCAAAACTATTTTAAAAGTATTCTGACAGCTGTGATTAATAAGATCAATTGCCATGGCTTTTATTTTTCACATCCACCTATGCGTTATAGACTTATTTTGCATTGAAATGAAAATAGGTTGATATGCTGTAATTGCAACATGTGTTATTTTTATGCTGCAAATTTGATTAGGGAGTGATAAAGTTGGTGTTTTCTACTATATATTATCAAAATATTCATTGTTAATATTTGAAACCTATAACACCCTGCTACATTTTTATTATTTGTGTTTGATAAGAAAAAAACTAAGATTTCAACAGTTGGGCCAACTGAAGTGGGAAGTGGCTCGTATATACAGACAGACCTTGGACACTATCTCTGTGATAGGAGTTTTCAGAAACTCTTCAGGAAACGTTGTTAAGAAATTCGGTATACCGGGTGACAATGAAGATCGTAAACACGCTATATTTTTTTGGCAAATAAAGATATCGCTTCAAGATTGGGACATATTTAGTTAGTCGTTTTGGTTTAACCGTAAGTGACCTTGACTTTCGTTTTTCAAATAGAAACCTGTATATTTCATATTTCCATAATCGTACTCTACGTAAAATTTCCTCTCCAATGATCTGCCACAAGTCGTCTTAGAAATGCGGCGCTATAAAGGAATTTGTGAATAACCTAAAATCCGCCATATTTCTTTTAAGACAAAAAAATATTTTCTCGCTTCTAAAAATGCTTTAAGCCACCGAAAGACCTGGGCTCTTGACAAAACACTACCTCCGTAGGCCTGCTGAAATACAGCAAGAGTTTCCGTTCCTCAAGTATGAAGCAAAACCTGATAGCACCGTTGCTTGAAAAAATATACGGACAACCAAGTGACTCGAGTGAGTTCAGACTTGTACTGAAGCCGGATCACATATCCCCCTGTCTCTCCTCTGAGTCCGGCGCCTACAGTGTTGCCAGTTAGAACGCTATGTTGACGGTCTCAGCACTTAATTTACAGACCTCCTATGAAAATGATCAAGTGGCTCTAAAACGTTAAAAAATAAAGTTACTGCGATTTTTCCCGCTTTTCGGCCTCAATTCCGCGACCAGGTACTTTTCCCAGTTATACATGGACCACGGAAATGAGTGACATGATTTTTCGTGCTGTATCTAAGTACATGTCATATAACTAAAAAAACATTCCTCATTTTTTAACTGTTCGTTTTATCAACAACGATAGTTAAACTGTTTCATACCCATAACGGTAAAGTACATCTATGCGCTCCCCAAAATTCAATTTGCCGAACCCCAACCGGAGTAACGGGAGGCATCAGGGATAAAAGGGGATGTCCCAGTTTACATTTATACTGCCAAGTGAATTTAAAATGAAATGGGGTTGTGATATATCAGCGGGAAGCTATCCAAAGTTACAAATAGCTGTCGGGGTGTCAGATCTATACATGTATTGCCGCAATCGATAAAAGAACGGTTTCGATTTGTCGTCATTTCAACATTGTTTCTTATAAGTTGAATGGCATATGTTTGCTTTTCGTCTGTGCACCCATAACCGACTATATGCGACGTTGTTTCTTGCTTTCTGACAATAACCAGTACAGTGTTGTTCTGATCAGCGAGGTGCCCTAATGGTCGACGATATACAGGGTGTAAACGTTATGGTAATCATTATTGAAATGGGACGAATGTATTTTTATGCGAGACGAAATATTAAATTTCCATCATACTCACACGTGGGCCCAAGAAAATCCTCATACTATTCGTGAAGATCATTTCCAACAACGTTTTAAAATAAATATTTAGGCGGGTATTCTTGACGAACAGGTGATTGGCCCTTTCGAGTTACCCCCCAAGGTGGCAGGAGAAGGATACCTTAGCTGTCTAGCCAATAACCTACCAGAACTTTTGGAACAGACCTTAGACAACATGCTATTACAACGGAGACAGAATTTGTGGTTTCTTCATGACGAGGCACCACCACACATTTTTCGAGGCGTCATTCAGTATTTGAATGAACATTATCTAAATCGCTGGATCGGTCGAAATGCTCCTGATCCTCGAAAATGGCCAGCTAGATCTCCTGACCTTAATCCGATGGATTTCTGGTATTGGGGAGAACTTAAAGGGATGGTTTATGGGGCTGGTCCAGTAACAATAAATGGACAACTTCGAGGACCTAGAGTAAGCAGCATCTGGGTTCGTCGTAATGAAGCTTGTCTGGAAAGTGGAGGACGACATTTTGAACATCTTCTTTAAATACAAAAAGAGTGCAGTGTGGATCTTAAAAAGAAAAACAATGAGCTGCGTGGGAATTTTTCTTATTTGGGTGTTGTGACTCTCCGTAGGTGGTAAACGGTGTGAGACTGTGGAGGCAGGAGGTACAACCTTCAGAATCTCTAAGGCAGGTCATAAAGTGTGCGGCTCACATGCAGGACGTGTTACCCCCTAGAGTCCGTGTGACATTCCCCCCTTTCCCGTGTATCCTCGCTGATCCCCACGGTAATAACGGATGCTTAGGTTTTAGGTCTTCGTTGTGGTATGAAAAAAGTAGTTTAATCAATAAATACTCCTTCAATCTTCAAGATTTCCTAACCTATCCTGACAGGAAATGAACCCTTCCTCCCAGCAAAGCATCGAGTCCACCTCTCCACCATATCCATGGCCCCTTGAGGCATGGTGGCTCAAGTGACGTATGTCACAAAAGTGTTAGCACAAAATATTTATCGTTTGGACATCTCTTGAGTAATGGTCAAAAATATGATATGGTCAGTAGCATGATGTTCGTGGACAAACTGAAGCAGTTTGGAAAGTCAGTTATCAATATATCAAGTTTAGACACATTTTTTTTATTATTTGACAGATACAGCTACAATAGGAATTCTGAACGGAACTACAGAGCGCAGAAAGAACAAGTTCATCCGGTATTTCACAAGATCCATCGAAGAACTAGGAGAGAACTGTATAGCAAAATTGAAAAATTATTTGTTGCGTAAGTACTACATATCATGCCTTACGATAAAAAATATGCAGTGAAATTTTCACTAATGTACAGTGTGTTCCAGAATATCGGTTAATGTATTGTACATTGAGTAATAATGAGACTTAGAGAAACAAACTATAATTTCTTGCGCCGTATTGTTGTGAGGTGGCCCTATTGCACACCTGTTATAAAAGATTCACACTATTGCCCCTATTAAATAAAGTAATATCATACTTATTTTCGCTAAGTACACTCCAAGAATTAATAAAACGCTGGGAACCCTCTTTTTGCAGCTCATCGTTTTTATCGAAAACTATCAGAAATGGCCGGGTTTTATGAAAAATAAAGCAAATGAAAGGATCTTCTAAATAAAAAAATCAGAGTCGTCGGGAAAGTTGCCAAAACATTCTGCTATAATTTATGTATGGGTGGAGTAGTTTTAATCTTTCCCAAACCCTTACAGATTTTTGTTAAAAGTCAAATATTACAAGGTATAACAAAACACATAGGGTGCGTTATATATTACTTTTCTTCTATTTGAAAAATAAACACGCTTTTTACGAGGTGAAATCGATTTTTCTTATTGATAAATGAAGGTTGGTTTATGCCATTTATGTTTGAAAAATAACATCAGTCATGTGACCACCGCGGCTTCGTTTACAGACCAATATCCGAGCATCAAAATATTCAATGACTTTTCTCAGAATAATCGGGTCTATGGCGCACCCAGTATTTATTCAAATAGTACTACAGTTCCAAAAATCCCTGAAAAAAGTGTTTTAGAAAGAAAACTGACGCCCTCTAAAGGACCAATGGAGCACCTGTTCATAGAGGTCAATCATGTCCAATCGACTTACTTTGAGTCCAAAAATACATACATGTCCAAGGAATATTGGGACACCCTGTATACGGAGCGCGCCTAACATAAAGTTCGATATTGTCGGATAGACGATTCTAGCCCTGCGTTGCCTTTTGTGCTATTTCCCGTATCCCTTCAATTTCTCTAGACTTTTAATAATACGTAAACCTTTTCTATATTCGCAGGTTGAATCGGGACGGGAAGGCTTGTTTACTAAAAGCAATTTGCGAGACCAGCCAAGTAGAAGAAGGCAAAGGGACACTGATGGAAGAGATTTTCAAAGCTACATTCAGGTTGTAAACAACGGGGTATAGCCCTGTTTTTCGCAAAGTTTTAGTTTTATTAATCCATTAAAATAGGGGGAACAGGAAAGACATGTGAATAACATTACATGTTGTTTCGTTCCTTTATTCGGCAGTTATTTAAACTCCAATGTTCTCGGCTGACAGAAACAGGAAAATATCATTTGTATGTTTTCCTTTTGATACATTTTGATGCTGGAAAACGTGAAATGAATATTTTGTTTTCGCTTACTGGCGCTGCAAATATAAATTCAGAAGCAATTCACATACAGTATAAAACATATATATATATACAGGGTGTCCGCAAAGTTGGGATTTTCCTTTACACGACGTAGATCTTGAAAACATAAGCAATTTTTCTTAGTACCATATACACCAATGTCTTAAGGGAACCGAGATAAAGGGCTCTGCAACATCAAAAATATCTGAATACCGTCCTGTAGCCGCGACCCGCCGCGATATCTCAGACTGGTACCGGCTACTAGCTGAACCCGACGACAGAACTGGGTCGGGGGTCGGGGTCAGTGTGTCAGGTCAGTATGCAACCTTCAACCGACGGTTACGGTCACGCGTGTAGAGGTAAACGAACTCGTATAATCGATTGCGTTTCAAAAAACAACAAGCACTAGAGACGTGGCTAGAGAAGTGCAAGTATCAAAAACTAAAGTGTGGCAAACGCTGCGTGAAGAGGGGCTGTATCCGTTTACCGTCCAACGTGTACAAGCCCTTCAACCTGACGATTTTCCAGCAAGAGTGCGGTTTTGTGAGTGGTTGTTGCATCAACATGACAATAATCCGGACTTTTTAAAGTGCATATTGGTGACAGACGAATCTACGTTCACGCGTAATGGGGTGAATAACTTTCGCAACACTCATATTTGGTCAGTAGAAAATCCGCACGCTGTCCGTCGGGCACATTTTCAACAAACATTTTCGGTGAATGTTTGGGGTGGCATGGCGAACGGTTTGCTCATTGGACCATTTATTCTCCCAAATCGATTGGACGGGATGTAATACCTAGACTTTTCACGCAACATTTTGCCTTCCTTGTTAGAAGATGTGCCATTAAGTGTAAGACAATCAATGTGGTTTCTGCGTCTGCTCGGTAGCGCTTTAGCTGATTTCATTTTCTGTTGGAGCGGTATGATTTCGGGCAGAGACGTACTTAGCCCTTCTCGTCAACTGGAGAGTGAGTACTTTTTCCTTTATTTTTTTTTTACTTGGTCGCCCTCGTTTCACTACACATTACCTTTGTTATTTCAATGGTAGTTGTTTCTCAAAAAAGGAAAACCCCAACTTTGCGTTCCGGCATTTAGGCTTCTGCCTGCGCGGCTGCTTCGATATAAAAAAAAGACGTCGATACATTTCATTTTGTCGATCCCTAGACGTATACGGGAGTGTATTCAGCTGCGGGGTTACCCAACACATTGTTATTTTTTACTTATTATTTGTTAATAAAATTTCATTCTTGATGTAAGACTACATTTGGGTGTAACACTTCTAATGTAAGTATGTATATGTACAATATCTTGACAAAGCGTCAGTTTAATTTTTGAGCTAGATTCTGTTTCCCACAAATTTGTTTCTAATAGGTTTGCAATTCGAGGTTGTGCTAACTCATGGTTGACCTCCTTTTTGGAAAAGAGAAATGTTTTTGTAAAAATTGATAATACAAAATCTACTGAATTTGACATCGATTGCGGATCACCTTAAGGGTGTGTCTTAGGACCCTTGATGTTTGCTTATGGCCTTCCTTTGTATATTCCTATACGCTTGTCACACCTGTATAATTGCATCTGCTGACTCAGCGGAAATCATTGAGCAAGAGTGATGAAAGAATTTGATGATTTGTAAGAAAACCACTTTTTAACACAAAATTTTAATCAAACACGTGCAGGGCAAGCAACTCTTTCGTGTCTCTACCTCGGCTGTCTGTCCGATCATCGCTCAAAAACTAAACATGACTCCCGATATATTTTCACGGCCAGCAATAAAAATGATGCGTTAAGCCTGGTCTGCACCATATCTGCCGGCTGGGTCGTTAAGCCCAGTATACAGAATGGTGATATGAAAACTCTTACTAATATTAATTACAACTTTAACGGATCTTCAGTGAAACTGTCCATGTCATTTAGATTCTTAGGTGTCATTTTAGACTTACATCTGTCATGAAAAAAAAAAATATTTATTCCGTATGTGCAAAGATTGATACTTCATAAAAATACCTTAGGTATAGGAGGCTTGATGAATATTTATTATACCTTAGGATACTCTGATATTTCATATTATATTATTTTGTTCTGTTTTCAGGGTCAAGCCCCACGAACACTACCCAGACGAAGACAATTACGATAAGGCATTCAATAAAAATCATAATTGTACTGAAATGTATCCAACCTGTCAGCATTCTTTATGGACTAACATGTTTTAATAAAAAAAAATGAAATCGTGTTTAATTTTCAAAAATCATGGAAAATACTGCTATCTGTACTATTCAATGCGGGGAACCATTGACAGTGGTTAGACTTTTCATGTTCACTTTTAAATGAGGGAATTGATTCCAATGTAGTTTAACTAAAATTTACTTTTTTAAAAGCTGTTAACTTTAGAGAAGGCTCCATAAAAACATTTTTTGTTCAGAATGATCCCAAAAATCTAAGAAAATGTCCGCTGTGGAAAAACGACAACTTTTGTAATTTGTTTAAATAAAATTGTCCAAACAACTATTGTCGCAATATTGAACCTGCAGCATGCAGATTTGTTAGAAAGTTTTTATAAGATTATGCAAAAACAGAAAAAAATTGTCAGATACATTATGGTTATGTTATAAAATAACCTGTATTTTTATATTGCTTGATCATCCAGAACAATAACTGGGAGATTGAAGGGGCATCACATATATGATCTAGCGCAAACACTGTGCGAAACACAATTAAAGCTCCTTTTAAGGCTTCAAACGCAACATTAAATACGGTTACACGCTAACTCATACGGGATAATAGTGTTATTCTCTGCACATTTGAGCGTCATATTAGGGAAAACGTTTTACATGGCAAAGCTTCGATAATGCAATGTAGGGGCAAAACAGTTTACACTCTAAGAATCGATAGTCGATAGTGTTGCACTAATTGCATTTGACAAATTTCACTGAAACCCAACTATCATGTCTATACCCTATTTCACGAGTATCCATCCCGCTTTGACGTCTACTGAGATGAAGAACTGATCAGCAAGTGACATTTTTGTGTCAAAACAAAGTTCGGGGCTGTTTACCTGGCGTTGACGGATCCTTCAGAATTATGTGGCATGTGCCGATATGGGGAATTTTCAGTCATTCTACTGTGATGGATACTCGTGAAACAGAGTATAGGTCCAAGAAAGAGCAATTTTCGATAGTAGGTTATGCTTATATGCAATCGCTCACGCACAGCCGTGCAACTCTGGTTGCCTAAGCTGATACCCAGTTATATGAGGGCGTTAAGGCGAACTATTGAACGACTACTTTTTCAGACATTTCAGGTGTTACGAAATCAATCCATGTCATCATTTGTACAACATCACATCATTAAAATCGGAAATAGGGTTTAATTCACAAAAACTGAAGGAATGCTTTTCTGATGATATTTTAAAACAAATACCGTAATGACTATCGGTTAAATTCAAAGCCTACTTAGGAGATTGTTTTTTTTTTAATTGCTAATTATAAATTTCAAATAAGAATCTCAAACTCTATTGACCCATGCAGAAATCCATATGGCGTCCATAAGAAAAAAATAAGTCGATAACGAAAGACAAGAGATGAAACGTCCTACTGAAATTCTAATTATGCCCTCTTGTAGAGGAGAAAAAGTGGCAATGTTAATGTGTTTCTCATCTTAAAATCCCAACTGAAATGAAATCAGGAAAAAATTACGATTTTGGGCAACTTTAGTTTTTTTGTCTCTTTACGGAAATACTCGGAACTGCGAAACTTTTTAACTGCCATTTCACCAAAATACGCAACTTTGCCTCTATTCAAACTACTTCGTATCTCTTACCATTTCCGAGATCTAAATGATGAGAGTTTCGATAGTAGGTTATGCGTATATGCAATCGCTCACGCACAGCCGCGCAACTCTGGTTGCCTAAGCTGATACACAGTATTGAGGGCGTTAAGGCGAACTATTGAAAGGTTACTTTTCTATACGTTTCAGGTGTTATAACATCAATCCATGTCGTCATTTGTACAATATCACATCATTAAAATCGGAAATAGGGATTCATTCACAAAAATTGAAGGAATGCTTCTCTAATGATATTTTAAAACAAATACCATAATGACTACCTGTTAAATTCAAAGCCTACTTAGGAGATTGTTTTTTTAATTGCTAAATAATAAATTTGAAACAAGAATCTCAAACTCCATTGACCCATGCTGAAATCCATATGGCGTCCATAAGAAAAAATTAAGTCGATGATGAAAGACAAGAGATGAAACGTCATACTGAAATTCTAATTATGCCCTCTCGTAGAGGAAAAAAAGTGGCAGTGTTAATGTGTTTTTCAGGAAAAAATAACGACTTTGGGCAAATTTAGTTTTTTTGTCTCTTTCCGGAAATACTCGGAATTGCGGAACTTTTTAACTGCCATTTCACCAAAATACGCAACTTTGCCTCTATTCAAACGACTTCGTATCTCTTACCATTTCCGAGATCCAAATGGTGAGAGTTTCGATAGTAGGTTATGCGTATATGCAATCGCTCACGCACAGCCGCGCAACTCTGGTTGCCTAGGCTGATACACAGTTTTGAAGGCGTTAAGGCGAACTATTGAAAGGTTACTTTTCTATACGTTTCAGGTGTTATAACATCAATCCATGTCGTCATTTGTACAATATCACATCATTAAAATCGGAAATAGGGATTGATTCACAAAAACTGAATGAATGCTTCTCTGATATTTTGAAACAAATACCATAATGACTATCTGTTAAATTCAAAGCCTACTTAGGAGATCGTTTTTTTAATTGCTAAATAATAAATTTGAAACAAGAATCTCAAACTATATTGACCCATGCTGAAATCCATATGGCGTCCATAAGAAAAAATTAAATCGATGATGAAAGACAAGAGATGAAACGACATACTGAAATTCTAATTATGGCCTCTCGTAGAGGAGAAAAAGTTGCAATGTTAATGTGTTTCTCATCTTAAAATCCCAACTCAAATGAAATCGGGAAAAAATAAAGATTTTGGGAAAATTTAGTTTTTTTGTCTCTTTCCGGAAATACTCGGAACTGCGAAACTTTTTAACTGCCATTTTTTTAGTCACCAAAATACGCTACGTTGCCTCTGTTCAAACGACTTCGCATCTCTTACCATTTCCGAAATCCAAATGGTGAAAATCGAATTTGGAACAGTCGGTATAATACTTTAAGGGTCAATTGTATCTTATTTTGTGATTGAGCTTCGTCCAGGTTGCATGTGCATTGTTGATGAGTCCGAAATACGAAAAATAGTCCTGCTACACAATAGTATTAAGCCTTATCCCAATTTGAGCAAAAACAGGAGCTTTCGTCGAGGTATGGCAGCAGATTTTGAACGTTATATCGTTTTCCACAACTTTCTAACTCGTTTAGCAGCATATAGCATTGCTTTGAACACATTCAACAGGGATTCTATGCCACGATTTTGGAAATTAACTCAACAGAACAACTACTCTTCAAAAATTGAAGGTAAAATCCAATCTAGCGATGTTACTCTCGGCATCGGAAGCACATCCATATAAATGAAATTAACTATGTAGGAGTAGCTTTTGAAGAAATTTTAGTTCCTTAGCAAATACCTCAGGGAAATTATCCCGCAAAATATTTACAGCGTGTGCTCTCACAAGTAATTGGAATCTGGAAGACTGCGTAGGTAGGTAAGACGTTTAATATTAAACCAATGCTGATTGGACTGCAATTTTACACGTTTGTCTAGCAAAGGCATTCGACGAACATCTCCTACAAACATCTTACTTTCATCACAAAAGCTTGCTGACAGTTAATGCAACAACGATATTCTTTTAAATGTCTTATTTTATCCATGCCAACAGTAGTCATCTTTTGGGTTAAAAGATCCGATGTTGATTCCATTATCTTTGGATTGGTTCAACTTGGCCATACATATAGTATCAAACGAAATGAGATGCCGGGGCTTATCTCCATTCAGAAGAACTACAAGCCCCTTCCCACTTCAGTTGGCCCAACTATTCAAATATTAGTTTTTTTCTGATCAAACACAAATAATCAAAATGTAGCAAGGTGTTATAGGTTTAAAATATTAACAATGAATATTTTGATAATATATATACTAAGTGACATATAAATCCGAACACCCAGTTCAAATGGTTTTATTTTAATAAAATTTTGTATAAGTACTTAATGAAGCATAATAAGTAAATGATAAAAATTTCAAAATGATTGCACTGCTTTAAAGCCCTTTAACCTTTAATAATGTGTGGATGCACCCTGATGTGCTACGCATTCTCCAACGCGCCTAGGCATGCTTCTGATCAGGTGGTCAATGTCCTCCTGTGATATCTCATTCCAGGCAACCACCAACTCCTCTCGAAGTGCTTCTAGAGTCTGAGGAGGACGTTGCAAATTGAACAATCTCCTACCCATCATATCCCACACGTGCTAAATTGGGGATAAGTCGGGAGATCTTGGTGGACATGGTGACAATGTGACATCATTATGTTGAAAGAAGTCTATTGTGACTCTTGCAACATGTGGTCGGGCATTAGCTTGTTGGAAAGTTGGATCTGCCAGGGTGTCAAGATAGGGTAAAAGATGGGGTTCTAGAACTTCGTGGATATAACGCTGTGCGTTCATGTTACCTCTGATGAAGATTAAAGGTGACCTGGAACCATAAGCTATAGCACCCCAAACCATAACTCCAACAGTGTGATGAACATGTCTTTCAACAAAAAACTGTGGATTCCTCCTTTCACCACGTCGCCTTCTAACCCTGGCACGACCATCGTGCATGCCTAAACAAAATCGAGACTCGTCACTAAAGACAATACTATTCCATTCCTGATCCCAGAGTGACCGTTGTCTGCACCACTCAAGGCGATTACGTCGGTGTTCTCGAGTTAAAGGGAGGACCCAGTGTGGCCGGTATGAAAACAAGCCAACACTTCGCATGCCAATAGGTCTTCCGTGTTCTGCAAACCACTCATTTGCAATGGACCTGGTAGTGGAGAAACGGTCCCTTAAGGCCAATAATCTTAGGCGGCGATCTTCACGGTCTGTTGTTCTACGGCGGCGTCCAGTGCCCCTTGCTCTTTGCGTACGGCCTTCTCGAAGCCATGCCTGACAACACCTAACCACAGTGTCTACACTTCTTTGCACTCTAACTGCAATTGCCCGAAAAGAAAGTCCAGCTTCCCGAAGTCCCACTATACGGCCCCTATCAAACTCACTAAGTTGACGAAATCGTACAGGTCTCCGTACTCTAGGCATCGTAACCGATCGTAAAGGATGTCAAGAACCAAAATCCGCCAACGTTGATTCTTTACTGCGGCTGAAATATTCATTTTTAGAGCGTTAGTGAATTAAAAAAAAGCAGTATAAAAACCGGAATGTCCAACTGATGAGGCTGAAAATTTTTTCACTTGTTATTTACAGTAAGATAAATACATTCACCAACTTTTATTAAAATAAAACCATTTAAACTGGGTGTTCGGATTTATATGTCACTTAGTATAGTAGAAAACACCAACTTTATCACTCGCTAATCAAATTTGCAACATAAAAATAACACTTGTTGCAATTACGGTAATTTTCGTATAGTAACTGTAATCTTGAAACTTGTGTTGTTTAATAAAATCATTATCATATTTTTACGTTTTTATTTTGTTTATATATCCTCTTCGGATTACATAGCAAATTTTGAAAATTGCTGGAGGAAGTCTGTGCCACATTCTGGAAATAATCTTTCACAGTTTTCCATATTTCTTCCTAGCTTTTCGGCAGCTAAGTATTCAACATTCGTGTGATGTTCAAAAGGGTCGTTCGTCGTGGATGGCCTATAACAAAAACAAATTTAAGGTTCATAATTCACTACAATAACACTTTCAACATTTATTATCAAGTAAAACTCTCAGCTTTGACGCGTAACCTCATAAGCTTATAAAAAAGAATTGGCTTAACTTGCTTCCAAAAAAATACTCACGTCAGTACTGCTGAAACAATCTCTGCTAGGATTCCGGAGTTGCTGTCTAAAGGAGCATGCGAAACTTCGCATATGGATCTCAATATACATGCTCTACCGTCGCCATAATGATATCTGAAATATTTAAAAAAATTAGTCTTATAGTTACAAGCCTTTTTCTTTTAGCGTTAAATCCCTTGAACGATCTTTAGAATCGAAAGCCATACAAGGTGTTCGAAAAATAGACGGAGATATTTTAGAGGGTAATTCCTTGTTAAAAATATGAAAAAAGTTTCTATAAACATGGTGATACATCTAAAAAAAAAAATATTAATTTGTTGTATTGTACTTTATGTCATGATAAATATTATGAAAGTTACAATAATACTCTTCTCTAGAATTTTTTTTAATCATATTTTGTTTCCCAAGGCACTTGATTTTTTAGCAAAAAGTGACACGCAATAAAATGGATTTCAATTTTTTATCGTAAACGAAGTGGGAGACAAAAAATATAAAAAACAAAGAAGTTGTATTTTTAGATGCTTAAACAAACTACAAACATTAAAGTTACAAAAAAGGCAGTGACGTACATTCGTTTGCCAATAATGTTCGCTAAGGTGCCTCACGGGACGCCACTGGACCTGACAATTCTAGTCTACTTAGGGCTAAATTAGTTTCTTAATTTAACAACTAATATTGTCAAATTTCAACAGAATCGAGTAGATATTTTTTGAGATATCAATAAAAGAAGAAACTTATTTTTTAATTTATCACGGACACATGTTATAATAATTTTTTTCATATCTTTTTTTTTAACAAGGAACCCCCTGAACAAAGGAGACACTCGGATATTTCAATAATATTGATAATAGACATTTTTATTTATCTAAAATTATATTGTGGTTAGGTTATACTTATACCGCGAATTCTTAGACTTAACCATATAGTTGCTAGCAGATGTTTACAATAATAGACTATTCACAAACAAATTTAGTTACATCGGAGGTAAAAAATTAAAAAAATGAAAAAGGATACTTGCCAAACCCAAGTACACCAAAAATTATTAACCTCAATCCAACAAGTGGTGGAAAAAGAAATGCTTGAGTGCGTAAATTATGTTTGGGGGAGTGATTAATATTGTTTTATCTTTTTGTCGAAAGACAGGAAACTAAAATTCTTTATATACTTCAGGGAGGTCATTATAAATAATAGCAACATAGTCGGAAAACTGCGTTTGAAAATTTTGGTCTCTTCCTGGACGATCTAATATTCTTTTCTCTGAGAGTTCTACAATGGATATCATTATTAAATCGAATGTTTTCTCTCCAGTGACAGGGTTTTGACGTCAGTAGTGATTTGTGAACAAAAACTGAATGTTGATACTTGATGAAGTCATTAATTTTCAACCAGCTTAAAAAACGGGATATTTCGCTGATGATCAAATTCACGTAAGTCAAAGATGAAACGTATACAATTGTTCTGAATAACGTTTTAGATGAAATTGTCTAAACTTGTATAGCTTACGATGTTACAATAATTTAGTATAGATTTGATAAATTCTTGACATAGTTTTTTCGCAATTTAAAATTTAGTAAGTACCTGCTTGCTATCAGGGTATGTAGCTTTTCTGTGAAAGACTTCCGACATGCTCAATAAACCTTAGTTTTGTATCAGAAATAACACCAAAGATTTGGTTATTTATCTGAATGTTCAAGAGCTTTGTTACATTGCCGTTTTTCGTTTGGGTCCAAAATAATGTCTTTAAATTTTATGGATTAATAGGTATGATCTGAAGTGTACTTAATTAATTCACTACCTCGTTCTGTAAAACTTGAGTAGTATTATTGAAATTATCTGGATTCAAAAAATAGAGCAACTGCGTACCATCGGCAAAAAACATTTTCAGAACTGTGCTTCATTCTTCAGTATTTCAGATAACAATGTGTATTATTAGGAATGATAGACTTCTTGAAAATAATAGCCTTTTTCTTGTACAAATATAGTACGTTTACCTTTCTAGGAAATTTTCTAGAGCTTCATACACTCTCCACCTGGAAGTTGATCTCTTCCGTCTCGCAATATCGATACTTGGTCTGGTATACACCGAAGTATTAGTCGGCAACAGATAGAATGCTTTCATCACAGTACCAAGAGTTATAGCTTGTCCTTTTACCTCCAATGGTATGCCCAATCCAAAAATAAACTAAAAAAACACCATTTACTAGGATATATCTAATTATTATAAGTTTATAATCATGTTGTATTACAAGAAAAACAAAATTTTACACTAACCTGTACCCAGTTTGGACCCTTGTCGCTCCATATCAGCCAACGTTTCTTTCTAGACAGTATATGCTGACTCGTATCTAATAGCTGCGCTTGCACTACGTACAATAAAACCGGTAGCATCAAAAACAATTTTATCCTCATAGTTAAATCCTTTCCCTACTACTTACTAAATATGACCAAGATTCTAGTGGTACCAGAAGTATCAGTTTCCGTCAAAAATTAGCACATCTGCACTAATCAGAATTACCGTTAAGATGAACTCGATAAGACATGAAAACACGAATGTTCAGGAGAGAAATGTATCACATAGTATCTCACATAGTAGTAATATAGCTTTAGATCGGCATGAGACAGCCAAACATATGCAGCTGTTTGGTGCTATTTGATGCCTCATCAGCATGGTCTAGGCTTCGTCTCAGTAGAACAACGTACAAAAGCTGAGTAATCCTACATCCAGGTTATCATGTCTATTGAAATAAGGCAGCACAAAGTGTCATCTATTACCAAAATCGACGAACTAAACCTACATTACTAGTTTGGCCTGTAAACCGCATCTACTGTACCGCCAGAATCGACGGCACCTATGCGGCCACAGTGGTGACCCAGCTGTATACGCTTTGTGGTCTTGAAATGTCGAAGAAGTTACTTGGGACCATCTTTGGAGTAACAGCACTTTCTCAGCTTGAGAATTAAGCCATGATGGACTTTCGAAGTTGCTGATACCTATATACCGTATCGCCCAAAAAAAAACACTTACTCCGAATGATTTTGTATATGCTTTGGGATCTTGAAATCTCGAAGAAATTACTTGGGACCACCTTTGCAAAAATACATTTATAGCTTGAGAATGAAACTAGCAGAAACGTTAGAAGTTGTTGACCTTATTGAACCATTTTATCCCAAGAAAAATGATTTTGTGCGAATGGTTTTGAATAAGCTTTATTATTTGAAATCTCAAAGAAAATACTTGGGACCATCGTTGAACAAACCGATAATTCATAGCTTGATAATTGGGCTATGAATGAACCATTTTACTACAAGAAAAACAATTTTGTAGAGTGATTTCGTATACGCTTTATTGTATTGGAATATTATTGAAATTACTTTCGAAGTTGTTAACCCTCAGGAACCGTTTTCCGCAAGAAAAACAATTTTGTCAAAGTGATCTTGTATACACTTTATGGTCTTGAAATCTTGAAGAAATCACTTGGAACCATCTTTGAATAAACGGCAGATCCATAGCTTGGGAAGTGAGCTAAACGAAACTTACGAAATTGTTGACTCACGTGTACCGTTTTACCACAAGAAACACGATTTTGCCCGAGGGATTTCATATACGCTTTATGGTATTGGAACCTTGTTGAAATTACTTGGGACTATCTTTAGAGAAACGGCACATTCATAGCTTGAGAAATAAGTTAGGAGGATCTATCGACGTTGTTGACTTTCATGACAGCCTTACCACAAGAAAAACTTTAATGTCCCTTTGATTTTATATACGCTTTATGGTCTTGAAATCTCAAAGAAATTACTTGGGACCATCTTTGAATAAACGGCAGATCCATAGCTTGGAAATTGAGCTAAAAGAAACTTACGAAGTTGTTGATTCACTTGTACCCTTTTACCACAAGAAAAACAATTTGCCCCGAGTGATTTCATATACGCTTTATGGTCTTGGGACCTTGTTGAAATTACTTGGGACTATCTTTGGAGAAACGGCACATTCATAGCTTGAGAAATAAGCTAGAAGGATCTTTCGAAGTTGTTGACTCTCATGAACAGTTTTAACAGAAGAAAAACGATAATGTCCCACTGATTTTATATACGCCTGAGGGTCTTGAAATCTCAAAGAAATTACTTGGGACCATCTTTGAAGAAACGGCAGATCCATAGCTTGGGAATTGAGTTAAAAGAAACTTACGAAGTTGTTGACTCACGTGTACCGTTTTACCACAAGAAAAACGATTTTGTCCGACTGAGTTCATATACGCTTTATGGTCTTGGGACCTTGTTGAAATTACTTGGGACTATCTTTGGAGAAACGGCACATTCATAGCTTGAGAAATAAGATAGGAGGATCTATCGACGTTGTTGACTCTCATGAACAGCCTTATCACAAGAAAAACTTTAATGTGCCTTTGATTTTATATACGCTTTATGGTCTTGAAATCTCAAAGAAATTACTTGGGACCATATTTGAATAAACGGCAGATCCATAGCTTGGAAATTGAGCTAAAAGAAACTTACGAAGTTGTTGATTCACTTGTACCGTTTTACCACAAGAAAAACGATTTTGCCCGAGTGATTTCATATACGCTTTATGGTCTTGGGACCTCGTTGACATTACTTGTGACTATCTTTGAAGAAACGGCACATTCATAGCTTGAGAAATAAGCTAGAAGGATCTTTCGAAGTTGTTGACTCTCATGAACAGTTTTAACATAAGAAAAACGATAATGTCCCACTGATTTTATATACGCCTGAGGGTCTTGAAATCTCAAAGAAATTACTTGGGAACATCTTTGAATAAACGGCAGATCCATAGCTTGGGAATTGAGCTAAAATAAGCTTACGAAGTTGTTGACTCACGTGTACCGTTTTACCACAAGAAAAACGATTTTGTCCGACTGAGTTCATATACGCTTTATGGTCTTGGGACCTTGTTGAAATTACTTGGGACTATCTTTGGAGAAACGGCACATTCATAGCTTGAGAAATAAGATAGGAGGATCTATCGACGTTGTTGACTCTCATGAACAGCCTTATCACAAGAAAAACTTTAATGTGCCTTTGATTTTATATACGCTTTATGGTCTTGAAATCTCAAAGAAATTACTTGGGACCATATTTGAATAAACGGCAGATCCATAGCTTGGAAATTGAGCTAAAAGAAACTTACGAAGTTGTTGATTCACTTGTACCGTTTTACCACAAGAAAAACGATTTTGCCCGAGTGATTTCATATACGCTTTATGGTCTTGGGACCTCGTTGACATTACTTGTGACTATCTTTGAAGAAACGGCACATTCATAGCTTGAGAAATAAGCTAGAAGGATCTTTCGAAGTTGTTGACTCTCATGAACAGTTTTAACATAAGAAAAACGATAATGTCCCACTGATTTTATATACGCCTGAGGGTCTTGAAATCTCAAAGAAATTACTTGGGAACATCTTTGAATAAACGGCAGATCCATAGCTTGGGAATTGAGCTAAAATAAGCTTACGAAGTTGTTGACTCACGTGTACCGTTTTACCACAAGAAAAACGATTTTGTCCGACTGAGTTCATATACGCTTTATGGTCTTGGGACCTTGTTGAAATTACTTGGGACTATCTTTGGAGAAACGGCACATTCATAGCTTGAGAAATAAGATAGGAGGATCTATCGACGTTGTTGACTCTCATGAACAGCCTTATCACAAGAAAAACTTTAATGTGCCTTTGATTTTATATACGCTTTATGGTCTTGAAATCTCAAAGAAATTACTTGGGACCATATTTGAATAAACGGCAGATCCATAGCTTGGGAATTGAGCTAAAATAAGCTTACGAAGTTGTTGACTCACGTGTACCGTTTTACCACAAGAAAAACGATTTTGTCCGACTGAGTTCATATACGCTTTATGGTCTTGGGACCTTGATGAAATTACTTGGGACTATCTTTGGAGAAACGGCACATTCATAGCTTGAGAAATAAGATAGGAGGATCTATCGACGTTGTTGACTCTCATGAACAGCCTTATCACAAGAAAAACTTTAATGTGCCTTTGATTTTATATACGCTTTATGGTCTTGAAATCTCAAAGAAATTACTTGGGACCATATTTGAATAAACGGCAGATCTATAGCTTGGGAATTGAGCTAAAATAAGCTTACGAAGTTGTTGACTCACGTGTACCGTTTTACCACAAGAAAAACGATTTTGTCCGACTGAGTTCATATACGCTTTATGGTCTTGGGACCTTGTTGAAATTACTTGGGACTATCTTTGGAGAAACGGCACATTCATAGCTTGAGAAATAAGCTAGAAGGATCTTTCGAAGTTGTTGACTCTCGTGAACAGTTTTAACAGAAGAAAAACGATAATGTCCCACTGATTTTATATACGCCTGAGGGTCTTGAAATCTCAAAGAAATTACTTGGGACCTTCTTTGAATAAACGGCAGATCCATAGCTTGGAAATTGAGCTAAAAGAAACTTACGAAGTTGTTGACTCACGTGTACCGTTTTACCACAAGGAAAACGATTTTGTCCGAGTGATCTCATATACGCTTTATGGTCTTGGGACCTTGTTGAAATTACTTGGGACTATCTTTGGAGAAACGGCACATTCATAGCTTGAGAAATAAGCTAGAAGGATCTTTCGAAGTTGTTGACTCTCGTGAACAGTTTTGACAGAAGAAAAACGATAATGTCCCACTAATTTTATATACGCCTGAGGGTCTTGAAATCTCAAAGAAATTACTTGGGACCTTCTTTGAATAAACGGCAGATCCATAGCTTGGAAATTGAGCTAAAAGAAACTTACGAAGTTGTTGACTCACGTGTACCGTTTTACCACAAGAAAAACGATTTTGTCCGAGTGGTCTCATATACGCTTTATGGTCTTGGGACCTTGTTGAAATTACTTGGGACTATCTTTGGAGAAACGGCACATTCATAGCTTGAGAAATAAGCTAGAAGGATCTTTCGAAGTTGTTGACTCTCGTGAACAGTTTTGACAGAAGAAAAACGATAATGTCCCACTAATTTTATATACGCCTGAGGGTCTTGAAATCTCAAAGAAATTACTTGGGACCATCTTTGAATAAACGGCAGATCCATAGCTTGGGAATTGAGTTAAAAGAAACTTACGAAGTTGTTGACTCACGTGTACCGTTTTACCACAAGAAAAACGATTTTGTCCGAGTGATCTCATATACGCTTTATGGTTTTGGGACCTTGTTGAAATTACTTGGGACTATCTTTGGAGAAACGGCACATTCATAACTTGAGAAATAAGCTAAGAGGATCTTTCGTTTTGAATTATTGGATAAGTAATTTGGAACGATCTTTGGAAAAACGACGTATCCATCGCTTGGGAATTAAGTTACGAAAAGCTTCTGTAATTTTTGAATCGTTTTTTCTAAAAAAAATTATTTTGTTTCAGTGGTCTTGTATACACTTAATGATCTGACCATTATAAAATAATTACTTGCGACGATCTTTATAGAAACAGCACACTAATATCTTGAGAATGAAGCTACGAGGAAATTTCGAAGTATTAGGCTATTTTTGTGGATAAGCTATATTAAAAAAATGAAGTTGGCTATAACATTTTTATTTTCTAACTACAATATTGCATAGTAGATATGAATCCAGATTAGCCATAATCAAAATAAGTGCTAAGAGGTGAGTGATGAGGGCATATCTCTCTATAATGATCACAGTTGTTCAGAATATTCTTGAAAAAGCTACCCTCCAGTCCTTTCTCGTTCGATACAATTTTCCCGATTTCACAGAAAAATCCACAATACGTCGCATTCCTAAGAGTGGAAAATATGTCGCACATGTGTTTCAAGATGCAGGAGAAGCCTTGTGAGGCTAACCTAGAAAATATGAATAATCAGTTATGGATAACAGATAGATCTTATAGGTATAGGGTATGTATTTTTTCAAGCTGCCTGACTTACTCATCGGGAATATTTTGAATATCCTCATGGATGTCCCTTTTGAAAAACTGATATCTCCTTGGAATGTCATGTGGTAGATCAAAGTTCACTCTGACTGTGTATCCGAAGGCAAATATTTGAGTCCAGTTCAAACTATTGAGCTTACCATTGAATCGAAACTAAAATAGTTCAGAAAAATTATCAATACACATGCAGAGTGTTTCCTAAACAGGGTAAAAAATAAGTGCTTGAGATGTTTACTTTACGTTTGCCTCCAAATTCTCAGTCCGTAGTCAGGGTGGAAGTGCACACTTCAAGCGGACATGATATAAGTTAATTTTTTGACAGTTCTGTCATTAAATTCATATTCATAGAGCGAAGTGCCGGTGAGATGCCCTCGCAGCATTGACGCTTAGGCAACCAGAATTACGCGACCATGTATGGAGTGTGTTCGCGTTTGAGAGCCATCAAGAACCATCGAACGTCATCTGGCAGGTTTCGAGAAAGGCTCGCGTTCTACATGAAATGAAACAATTCCAAACAAAAAATAAAACACCCAGAATTTAACAGAAACGTAGGGATATCTCCAGATCGTCCTAATTTTATTATGAAGGAGACGAGAAAAACAACAAATCCCACAGATTTTGATCGAATCATATACACTACACATCTACTGGAGTATTTATGTGACTTCATAGGGATTAAAGCCTCGAGCTCTGTTCTTTTTTATGGGTCCCAAGGGATACAACTAAAGCGTTCCAAGAATATTGTACACTTTCCGGTTCATTCCGTTTCTTTCACATTCGGTTTATTTTTATAGCTGCAGACTCAGAAATTGGTCATCAGCAGGCAACCGGAATTACTTTTTTCGTCTCTAAATCCCTTGATCTTACCCGCAAAAACCTCTGTAGCGTGCTTAGTTGACATTACAAATACATGGTTCAAATTGGAGACTGTCGTCTCTGGGATAATTCAGTTGTATATAATCATAGATTTACGTGGTTTATTTAGATCACTCAAGTACTTTAAGAGAAATTATATAAAGATATCAGTATTAAAAGAAATTAAATCGGACACCCGGTAAGGAAGCCGTAACGTATGAAACATGACCGAAACCTATTTGTTCAATTTACTGAGATCTTAGTTGATATCTTATAAATCTGAATAGTCGTATATAAAAGAACAGTTGAACATCAAAGAGCGCGCAAAATTAATTGGCAAGCCTTTCAATATATACAATATTTAATTTGACCAGCTGCGCATCAAGTATTGCTTACGCTATCGTTAGAAGAAAGCCCGCCAGATACTTACAAAATATTTACTACTCTTTGTAAAGACAACTTTCCTCTTGATCCTATGCTTCTGAACCAATTCCGTACTATTCGCTAGGACCTGGCTAACAAGAACGGCAAAACAAGTTATAAGTATACAATTATGGTATATATACCTGCACATTTTTCATCTTACTGGCTAGTCAGACAATACCTTGTTCATTTTCTTAAAAAGAACCTCCAATATTTACCAACAAGCTACAGTTAGTGTGGTGTAACTTTAGACGTCACGAAACGGGTTTGTAACACAGTTACATAAATTTGGATTGGAGTCTGTGGCAGATTGTAAACATGTATGGGAAACATCGGTATTCCAAGATTTTGTACAGAGTGTAGCAACCAAAAGTTTCAAATATAAGACAAATAAAAGGTAAAAGCCTATGATCAATTATGAAATGCGTTAGCTGAATTTTCTGTTGTAATCGAGCAGGTTTAGAAACCGTCCTTACCCTTTCTTAATTATGTTATGCAACCGTCTCACGAGTATACTTATTTCAAGATGGTGATTAGTGGTGAGTGCAGCTCTAAAGCTGTTAAGCAGCAGGTAAAATGAATACCCATTATTTTTATTCTTGAGATACCGACGAACCATCACATATTGGTACAATTTTGATTACTGATTGCAAAAAACAAAACGTGGATGCAGGTGTTAACGTTTCTATAGGAAATTCAATCACAACAGCTTGATGAACTCGACAGGAGTAATCGGATAAATCAATCTTCCATTTCTCCGCTCTGGAACGATCTGGCCGATATTCGAGTTCAATTTCATTTACCGCAATCGGGTGGTTATTTTATAAATTAATTGAAATGCAATACGAAGAGTTTGTTTGCAAAGACCTCTAAATTGGTGGAGTTATTCCTGTATGTACGAACTCAAATATGATCAGAGAGAAGAAAAACACACCCAGTGACAATGATTTTGTTTGAATAAAATTTTGTGTACAATTGGACATGAGCAAGAGGAAAGAGTTATTAAATTTTGAAATGAGAATGTTTGCTATATCGCTGGAATTTCTCAATAATAATAATAATGTGCATTTATGAGTGCGGTTCAATAAGTAGCCGTCTTAGAAATAAAGACACCATTTTTTCCAAAAAAAATCTTTTTATTTTTCAACATGATCCCCTTTTAGAAAAATACACCTTTCTTTACGTTCGTGCCATTTATAATACGCCTCTGTCTCGGCGATGACTTCTTCGTTTGAGCTAATTTTATCCCGCGAGCCATTTCTTCCTGTCAGGGAACAAGAAACAAGAAAAAAAGTCGCAGGGGACCAGATCGGGTGAATACGGGGGTGCGGCAGCATTTCATCACGCAATTCATGCAGTTTGGCGGCGACAACTCCGGATGAATCTGCTGGTGCGTTATCGTGGTGAAACAGCACCTTTCTTTTCGTCATATGTGGCCGTGTCAGAAGGGCGTCCTGCACGGATATCATGTAAAAAACCTATGAAACGTCAAAAAAACCTATATGATGTCAACTTGCAGACTAGGTAGTTTTTACGGTGCAAACATTCATTCCACGTTTGCTCACTAGGATCGTTGTGAACGTCCATCTATGGAGGAATCACTCAACTAAACTACGCATTATTGGTTGCATAGTTTTGTGAGGCTGAATGATCTGGGTCTGTAGCTGTAGTTTTTTATCTCTGAGAACAAAGTTGGTTGAATAGCAAGATCGCATCGTATTGGTCTGAATGTGTATAAAATCAGTGATATTTGCTGTGTGAGAAAATTATTACTGAATATGCTGCCAATGAAGTATATCTGTTGAGTGTGCCCGACAGGGTATTTTTATGTTGTGCTTTCTGAAGAGAGGTTATGTTCAAAGTTATAAATTACGAAAAACTGAGGAGAATTACAGCCCGCGCTGTTTGTAATTACTGTTAGCATGTGTCTGGCTTGTAATACCACAGTGAACAGTGAATATAATTATTTTTTATCTCTCTCGTTTATGAAATTCAGCAAATTTGTATATGTAATTTCCAGAATGGATAAGAAAAAGTGGATGCGCAAGTAATTTCTAGCTTTGAATCTCAATTAAGTGTATTTGAGACAAGAACCCAATGTAATTATCATCAACACATACAACTTACAGCTTAGACTTCCAGAAATGCCATCTCAGAAGCAGATTTTACATCACATCAGAGCCTAAGATTGATAATAAGCCTCATGACGCTTAGGCAACACGTACAACTAAGTGCTAAGTTAACATCTTGTAGATTAACCTATATAATGTGAAAAAAACCAGCATAATGTCAAAAAAAATCGGCATAATGTCACTTTTCAAGATACGTGATACCCGTGCTGGTCGCTCCTCATCAAAAACGGATGTTCGCCCACGTTAAAATTCGCTGAACCAATATCTAATTGCGGTCATAGATGGCGAAGTGTCCCCATAAACATCATCCAACCTTGCTTTTATCTCCTCGCATTTTTTCCCATCCAGAAACAAAAAGCGAATTACCGAACGATACTGCTCTTTTTCCATCTTGGCGAAAATCACGAAACACGTGTTACTCGAACGGCAGTCAAATTCAAACTAACCTATCAATCAGTCTGAAATTTGTTGTGCCGTCGTTTGATAGATGGCAGCGCACGATGATAACATTAACTTCTCTCAGGAACGCCATCTGTTGTCAAACGCGGGCCCTCGTACTTTTAGATTAAAAGTACAAAAAACAAACTCATTGGAGAGGAAGGCGATAAATAATAATAAAATATAAAGATAACCCAATAATTACAGATTAATAATAACTGTAATCAATACAAAGACCAGGACAAAACTATCGTAATCTATTTAGAAAGCAACTAAGTGAGGGCGATTTTTTTCCCATATCTGGCAAATGAAGTGAATTACTTTTTAAACTGTTCATTACTATGGAACGGAAAATCATACAGGTTACAAATACGAGTTTGCCTATCATGAAAATCATATCGCCTATCAAGTTTGGTATAGAGTTCATATTTTTTGAAACCGTACGAAAATTTAATTCAATGTGCTTGCTGTACATTCACCCAGTCGCACAGTGGTCTACATGTTCGAAAACCTGGCAAACATTGATAAAACAGAGTATCGGAAAATGAAAATTATTTCCTATTTCAAAGTTAATACCTTAAACAATAAGCTAGACAAGGAATCAGAATTTTGCTTTCTCTACCTTTACCTACTACTACTCTTAACGTCAAAACTAGAGAGCTTCTGTATCATCCGTTGTATTGTGTGTTGAAAATATTTGAACATCTGGATATGGATCATAATGAAGGAAGTACGAACTTTCATTTGATGAACTGTCTTTGTTGTTGTTTTCATTTACAACGTGAGTTATCCTAATTTTTGCTTTATTTATCTATATTCGTTTTATTCAAAGAAGTTTTTAATAAGTATCTGTCCGTTGCCCCAATTGGATTTAATTATGTTTGTGAACTTTAAAGTTCTGCCAGAGAAAATCTAATGTTATTTCTCGCTAACTTGTGCAAATTATTGAGAAATATTGGTGGTAACTCGTCAACTGACTTGATATTCCAGATATCGACGTCATAATGACGTTTACTAAACCTCCAATTAAGTACGTGTACTATAGGACGTTGTTTGGCGTATTTTTATGGTTATATTTTTAGAATCATATATATTTTCATATACTCAGTCACTGAGCATAAAATGCTTGCTTTAAAATTAGTTTCTTCTTCAAGTCTATGTTGCATCTCAAAGGTTTGACCACCCTATCTCAAAATGTGTCAACTGCTTAACACAAAGCTAAATAAGACGTTTGTTCGAGGAAAGCCAAATATTTAAGCAATCATTTATAACGTATTTAATATGGAGTATCAGTCATGCTCTGGTGTGTGTATGAGCATGTCATTCTTTCAAAGACTGGTTTTCACTACTACATTGGTCTTGCTACTGAGTTCAGTGACGTCTGAGGAACCTACAACGAAAATTTTGAAACGAAATGTTTTTCTGAGGAGGCAGAAAAGGTATTTGACGTTTCCTCCAGGCAGTAACTTTGTTGTAAGTAATCATGAATTTTTAAGTATTGTTTAGAAAAGATCGTTACTGGTGGTGAGACGTAAGGTCTGTTGTGTTCAATTGAGTCAGTTACCTACTCGTTCTTCAAAATCTTCATAAGTTACCCAATTTGAACTTTTCTGGGGACAATAAGAAAAACGTGAAATTTGATACACATTAACATAATCAACATTTTAAACAAAATTACAAAACTTCAAAACAAACTTTTGGAGAAGCGTTTTTTACTGAAAAAACCATTTTGAGCGACATCAACTATTTATGACCGATCCTTTCTGAAGTTTCTGTCGCTTTGTTGAATTATTCTTCCGTCCCTTTCAGATCACCCTCTCTGCAGTAAAATCTTTACTGAGGGTACAGCCAACAGGATGGAATATTTTAGAAGAGGTAGATGTCCCATTTGCCCTGCCTAGCGACACGATGCTTTTCAAACGGATAGGAAGGAGAGACAGAGAAAGGCGAGAAATTCACGATCAAATTGGACAAACACTGGATAAGTAGGTTTTAAAAGTGATAAAATTAGACGTTCGTTATGCGTGAGTCTGTCGCCAGAATCGACGGCGTCTAGCGGTCACAGACAGCATTCTGCTTTCGATTCGAACTGAGATACTTTACAGTGGTCTATTTTGGCGATAGAAAATATTTTATACACTTAACCAAATATTGTTACAGGTTTGGATTCAATGGTACAGCTTGTGTTAATAGAATGATCTGCGAATCACAAAAATTCATCCCATTGCGAGGAAGCTCGTTGGTGAAGTATATTCTGTCGGCAGTTTTCAGGTATACTTCTCTTATTTTATTAGCACCAGACTATTTTCTTAAATGGAGAGGCGATCATACAGGTCACACAATTTAAATATTTGGTTATGATTATTCAAAAGATAGCGTCCAGTAGGTTGACTGCACGTTTTCATCAGTACAAGTTAGCACCTTTGACAAAAAAGTTAGATACGAACGTGTATAATAAAGTACTTGAACGGATCAAGTCAATCAAACAGTCCTATACAATTAGTCCATAGTAATTTTACCCTGTCCCACTGACAGTATGGACCATTTGGCAACGTTGCTATGACTAAGCTGGCTCATACCTTCATGCTCGCTGCTGGCCACACATCAGCCTCGTCTTCATAACAGCCATTATCGTCTATGAAACAACGAAACACAGAAACGAGTAGGTATGTTGAAAATATTTCTCTACCGTTTCACTTTTAGGGCAAATCTACAGGGAAGTCTATGTGTGAAATATGTGTAATATAGATGCGTAGAATTACCGGGTAAGAACAAAATAAGGTAAAAAAACTGAGATATACCCTCTCCCACTTCCTATAATCCCCAATCTTCCAAATCACTATAAATACTTTCCCTAAAAATGTTCAGAAGCCTCTGAAACTTGACAAAATAAGTTTCGACGATTTCTATTATTTTTTTTTCGTTTTTTTTACTTCGGCACTGCGGCCGCCATTGGATCGATTTTCAAAACTTGTTCCTCCTTGGTTTAGCAGTGAGAGAATTTCATCAAAATCAGCAGCCCTTGGACAAAGGAGTGGTAGTGACTGCCAGTTCTGGATGTACGAAGCTCAACACTGTTCGGATATGAGGCCGAAGTCTGACAAGTCTGACTGGCAGGCTCATCCCGTCTTGTCTGGGCCTGGTGCGGAGAAAGGTGCTCATTAGCGCCGTATTGTCAGTAGTTCCTACAATCGAAGGACGCCTTTATGGCCTCCTTGATGCAAATAGATATTTGTAACATAACCTCAAAATAGAGCGCTGAGAACAGTAGAAGACTATGGAAATCAAGGAGGCCATAAAGGCTTCCTACAGTATTGTAGCTGCCGCGATGTATTCGTGATCTGGATGCCGACCGGCCATCCATCGAAACTCAAAACCGGATGAGGACTAGGACGCTTTTTGTTCGTCAAGGTAGTACACACCCCCGTGTCCCCCACCGCTCCACCTTCCTGGTTCAGGATTGGTTGTGTGTATGCGCTGGACCGTTTCTGCCCAATACCAGTCTTTTGAAATATACTAACATATAAATCCGAACACCCAGTTTAAATGGTTTTATTTTAATAAAATTTTGTATAAGTACTTAATGAAGCATAATAAGTAAATGATAAAAATTTCAAAATGATTGCACTGCTTTAAAGCCCTTTGACCTTTAATAATGTGTGGATGCACCCTGATGTGCTACGCATTCGCCAACGCGCCTAGGCATGCTTCTGATCAGGTGGTCAATGTCCTCCTGTGGTATCTCATTCCAGGCAACCACCAACTCCTCTCGAAGTGCTTCTAGAGTCTGAGGAGGACGTTGCAAATTGAGCAATCTCCTACCCATCATATCCCACATGTGCTCAATTGGGGATAAGTCGGGAGATCTTGGTGGCCATGGTAACAATGTGACATCATTATGTTGAAAGAAGTCTATTGTGACTCTTGCAACATGTGGTCGGGCATTATCTTGTTGGAAAGTTGGATTTGCCAGGGTATCAAGATAGGGTAAAAGATGGGGTTCTAGAACTTCGTGGATATAACGCTGCGCGTTCATGTTACCTCTGATGAAGATTAAAGGTGACCTGGAACCATAAGCTATAGCACCCCTAGCCATAACTCCAACAGTGTGATGAGCATGTCTTTCAACAAAAAACTGTGGATTCCTCCTTTCACCACGTCGCCTTCTAACCCTGGCACGACCATCGTGCATGCCTAAACAAAATCGAGACTCGTCACGAAAGACAATACTGTTCCATTCCTGATCCCAGAGTGACCGTTGTCTGCACCACTCAAGGCGATTACGTCGGTGTTCTCGAGTTAAAGGGAGGACCCAGTGTGGCCGGTATGAAAACAAGCCAAAACTTCTCATTCGTCGGTAAACACTTCGCATGCCAATAGGTCTTCCGTGTTCTGCAAACCATTCATTTGCAATGGACCTGGTAGTGGAGAAACGATCCCTTAAGGCCAATAATCTTAGGCGGGATCTTCACGGTCTGTTGTTCTACGGCGGCGTCCAGTGCCCCTTGCTCTTTGCGTACGGCCTTCTCGAAGCCATGCCTGACAACACCTAACCACAGTGTCTACACTTCTTTGCACTCTAACTGGTTGACGAAATCGTACAGGTCTCCGTACTCTAGGCATCGTAACCGATCGTAAAGGATGTCAAGAACCAAAATCAGCCAACGTTGATTCTTTACTGCAGCTGAAATATTCATTTTTAGAGCGTTAGTGAATTAAAAAAAAGCAGTATAAAAGCCGGAATGTCCAACTGATAAGGCTGAAAATTGTTTCACTTGTTATTTGCAGTAAGATAAATACATTCACCAACTTTTATTAAAATAAAACCATTTAAACTGGGTGTTCGGATTTATATGTCACTTAGTATATATGGATGTGCTGCTGATCACGCTATGGTTACTGTTTTGGTTTAATGTATTTCTTGGATATATGTACAGACAACAGCACAGTTGCGTGACGTAGGTTGGGTCACCTGTTAATGCCGGAAAACGTATTGACTGTCGCTATTGAAACCACGAAGGTCAAGCTCCCATATGTTTATATAGAATTAATTTCACCAGACTATATCCTTTAATACACCTGACAGACCACTTCTAAGTGTCACACAAAAATTTTTCTGCTTTTTTTATCTTTGGACTATACTAAAAAAAGTATTTTATCCAATTTTTCGAAAATTAGCTAGGTATAACTCATATTATCGAATTTTAAAAGTGTAATATTTATCCCTAAAACTCGTTGAACGTTATTGCCTCCAGTGGCGTGTAGTAAAAATTTTCTAACTCGACATTATGTAATTTAAAACGAATTTATAAATTTTACTATGCAATTGAACAGCTTAACAAATCCAAGTTACGAAATGATTCTCTTAATATAGGGGCACAGATTATACAGATGCGACACCTGCTGCCGGTCTCTTTGACCTTCCTGTCCCCAACTGCTTACCACATTTCCCGCTAATGTTCATCAACGTCCGGAGGATTTTTTCCTAGGGGTTGTTACGCGTTATTGTATATCATATGTCCAGCTACAGAATGAAGAAATTTGTGTTTATCATTTCCCCAAATGCACCGAGGTCAGAAAATTGATTTGTACTGATAAAACTATTTTGTGGTCACGTGTCAAAACATTCCACGTATAACCCCTGAATGTCCCAGCAACAGGAATCCCGCCAAACGCATAGAACTCAAGTTGGCGTTGATAGAACCTGATTTTTGACAGAGTTTCGCATCTGGTAGTACTCTGTGATAGGGGTGTATTCCAGTGGAGTAACACCAAATGCATTTTTTGGTTTGGTAAGAAAAGCTAATAACTATAGCATAGATTTTCAACCTCAGGACATTGAGAGGCACCTTACTAAACTGAAAACTTGTTCGTCCCCTGGAAAGGATGGGATTACTTCTGCCGTTATGAAGTCCTGTGCCTCAGCTCTCGCATATCCCCTGTGCATTAATATATTCAACTCCTCGATCCAAAATCACATCCTTCCTTCCTGTTGGCGTACTGCATCTGTGACACCTATATACAAAAAAGGAGATAAAACATCTGCGAAAAACTACCGTCCTATCAGTCTTGTGCCTATAGCTGCGAAAATAGCCGAAAAGATCGTCCAGGAACAACTTATGACATTTGCGTTCAAGAACAACCTGCTGCCTAGCAACCAACATGGTTTTATTCCTGGTAGATCAATTATCACCAACATGTTAGACTGCATTGACAATTGGACCAGATCTTTAGACGCAAATGAACCGGTCGACGTGGTTTTTCTGGATTTTTCCAGAGCTTTCGATCGAGTTCCGCATAAAAGGCTCCTGCACAAGCTTGAACATCTCGGAATCAGGGGAAATTTGTTGTTATGGATTGAAGCTTTTTTGTTAGACAGATCTTTCTCCGTCCGTGTTGGAGACGCCTATTCTTCTAGTCATCGTGTTACTAGTGGAGTTCCACAAGGATCTGTGCTAGGGCCAATACTTTTTCTTCTTTATACAAGCGACCTTCCCACCCGACTTTATTCTATGTGTTCCATCTATGCAGATGATACTAAAGTCTATAACACTGTCATGAACTCATCTGTGCTTCAAGAAGACCTCAAGCTGATCAGAAAGTGGTCAGAACTCTGGCTCCTGCCTTTAAATCTATCGAAATGCTACGTTCTCCACCTGGGAAAGAATAATCCTAACTTAACATATAAGATTGGCAAACATACCTTAGAGTCTGTTCTTCATCACACAGATCTTGGTCTGACAGTTAATGGCCGGCTCACCTGGTCGGAGCACATTCAGAACATAACCTCTAAGGCAAAGCGGTTGCTATATATGATGGAAAGGTCATTTAGCGGTTGCACCGTTAGTACCTCCTCCTTTTTATACACAACTTTCGTACGACCCCTACTGGAGTTTGCTGGTCCGGTATGGGATTCAAACCTTGTTCGCGATAGCAGCTTATTAGAGGCCGTTCAGCGTCGTGCAACACGTATGCCATATGGCACACGTAGGCCAAGTTATGAAGACCGCCTCGAGCTATATAACCTGCCTGCTTTTGCTGATAGAAGAGTACGAGGAGATCTCATCATCACTTTCAGAGCACTGCATAATTTGTTTGGTGTGGACATGTCGCATCTGTTTCGTCTGGCAACGAACAGTCTCAGAGGCCATAACTTCAAATTGCAGAAGGAAGCTTTTAGAACCTCTACTCGTCAGCGCTTCATCTCAAACCGTGTCTTCGATGCATGGAACAGTCTTCCATCTTATGTAGTGAACTCAGAATCCGTCAACAGTTTCAAAAACAATTACGATAGACACCGCAGTGCTTAACATATTGTTCCCATTCTGTATATGTCTACTTCAGTAGTGCTAAGATTGTCAAATTGTTATATTTCTTTTGTCTGTACACTATTATCGATTTTTGTGTTTGAGTTTATAGTACTTGTACTCAACTCAAATTTGTTGTTTAATAATAATAATAATAATAATAACTTAAAAAAAATCAAAATGCTATGATGCTCGCCAACACTGCTATTAATCTTTTATCTGGATTTTTTTATCTCTCTCATTCAGCTTTGGCTGGTAAAACTTCCTCACAGGATTGCTTTGATACCATGGGAACTTTAGTTCCCAAAAGCGAAAATTGCGTCTTACCTAATTTTTAGATAAATCGACTGGTACCTATTTTCCATACGTTTCGTGCGGGGTCCTTTCAAATGGAGACTGGGAACTAAATACAACGTCTATAAAATGACTGATGGAACTGATTAACTCAAATCTTTCAGAACCTGATGGTAGCGGATTTTTGAAACTGTGTTGATTCTTTACATCACAGATGGCGTAAGATGTGCGCTGTGCGCTTTCTTTGACCAGCAGCAAAATGCGACGCATGTTCCTTTTGATGTCCGACTGCGCAGAAAAATTCGTCAAATTCTTTTTGAACAGAGCGCGGGGTGGGGAGGTTGTAAACAAGAACCTCCCGAATACCCAACTCGATATCTCGTTCCGAAAATATCGACATTTGAATTTGGGTAAAAGTTTCCATGTTGCAAAGCAACTGTTCACCAGTTTTGATACACAATGTTCGATATCGAATTTCAATTTTTTTCTTTTTTTTTTTAGGCATACTGAAGAGTCGTTCGACCCCAAACCGAACTGTGACGATCACATCTTCGAAGACTGCTCAGTTTCGATTCTAAGTTACTTAATGGGAAGTTTGCAAACTGATTCTACTTGAAAATAAAACCCAGGATATTCATGTTTAAATTTTTTATTACAATAAAATCTCAACATAAATAGATACAAAAAGTTATAACAGTACGCTTCATCATATACGACAGAAATGTCTTATTTTATGACACAAAAGTTTAAATCAGTTGCAAAAGTGCAGAATTCTGGATATTTTGGTTTGTGTAAATTTAAAAAGAAACGATAGATATATTCTAAATATTAAAATCTGTTTTAAAACTTTCAAATAAAAAAGAAGTACGGATTTCTGATTCTTGAACTTTTGGAATATTCGATAGTGTCATAAAAAAAATAAATCAGAATAGAAGATATTTTATTTTGGACAAACTTAGGTGCCCAGAATATCAATCTTCTGCGAAAAAATATTATTTTTAAAGCTTGTAGCTTGATATGTAGATAACGTAATATTTTATAAGCAAGATTTTATTAACATCTGAAATTCTGTTGAACAGGAATTTTACAAACAAGCCATTAACACATTGAACTCAAATATTTTATTTATTTCGATGACTGCCAGCGCTAAATAACAAATTTAAAATAGTTTTGATGGCACCATTGGAATAGTTTAGTGTCAATCACCAGTGACTGAAACGGTGGCCAATGTGTCAACATTGCTTGGAAAATAAGGATAGATACATGATTTTCAATTAATATTTTGAGCGTAATATTTTGTCCTAAAGACAATGCTAATCATTGATAAAACGTGTAGGACAGAACATTATACTGATTATAAGCTGTTAATTCGTGATAGTAAACTGAAACTAAATCGATCTTATACTCGACATCGAGTTTATAAAAACTATAAAAATATATAACAGTATAAAGCGTATATAAGCATCGGATGATGCCTATTACCAATGCTCGCCTAAAGCAAATTAATGATATCAAAATACTCGGTCAGACTTTCACTGTGGATAAGGTCTTTTGAGAACATACTGACCACTATCTCCTTTATGAAGTGCGTATTTTGCTCCATGTGTTTAGAGTGTATAGAGAAAAAATAATAATTTTACGAATAATCAGAGGCGATTCATTTAGATATTCATTTTAAAAAAGCATGTAAAAATAGAGCAAAGAGCAATTAAATGCGTCTGGGTATCTTTATTGTTAAAAAAATTGTTGGATCCGCTCTTGCATGTCTGCGACTAACGTGGTCAATTTTGGAATTCCGATTCTACTGTCGACGCTTAGACAACCAAAATTACGCGACCATGTATGGAGCGTGGTCACATTCTGGGGCGTTCTGGATGCCATCGCGAATATTCGACACGTCTGGAGGTTAACCTTCTGCCATCAAGACCACTTCCAGAGAAGTTTCCGACTTGGTCTGGAAAACACTGGAATATCGACTCGTCGATAGGGAAATGCATACCCGACCCGATGGCGGAAGTAGTCAGTCAGTGTACAGCGACCGCGAAATTAAGATGGAATAATAGTCCAGTCGACATAGTTTTAAATTTGTTATAGATTAGTGTAAGAGTAATAAATTTGACTTTCATGTGATTTCACAGGCCGTGCTTAGATCCGCACCATCTTGTTGAAAACAACTCTCATGAAAATAATGGGCTTGAATTTCATGTAGCAAATAGTGTGTTATCATCGTCGCTAAATATTACTCTAAAAGTTTGAGCACGCGATCGAAAATTACATTTCCAGAACAGACCACATTGACCGCAGTAACAGTTGACATTTCAAACGAATAATCTCCATAAGCTGGAAATTAATCTTCTGCCATCTAGACCACTTCCATAGAAGTTCCCGACTCGGCCTGAAAGAAACTGGCATATTTCTCGACTCGCCGACAGGGAAATAAATACACGGCCAGATACCGGAAGTCACAGTCGACGGTCAGTGGACAGCGAGCGCGGAATTAAGACGGAATAATAGTCCAGTTGACATAGTAATCACTTTGTCATAAGTTAGAGTAAGAGTAATACATTTGACTTTCACACGGTTCCACATACTGTGTTGCAAGTAGCTCCGCAGAATCTTGTTGAAAACAATTCTCCTGGTGATCAAAGGTTTGAATTTCAGGCAGCAAAAAGTGTATTATCATCTTATATTACTCAAAAAGCGTGAGCGCGTCATCGAAAATTATAACTCCAGAACAGACCTCAGTGTCCGCAGTAGCAGTGAACAGTTCAAAGGAATAATCTTCACAAGCTGAATATCAAAAATGCTTAATCACTTCGATGATAAGAGTAACGGGATACAGCTGATTTTTATCAGTCGACAAGATCAATCAATATTCATAGATAACTCATGGAGTATTTCAAAGAAGAGCATTGACAACAAGCATATCCTTCGCATTGCTCATGTATTATGTTACATATCAAAGGGGTTCGAACCACAGCCAATAAGTCGAGAGATATCTGACAAAAGTGTTTTTCCCGAAGATTTAAACAGTTTGGACTGACAGTAAGATGTACAAACATGATAAACGGAAACGCCTGATTTTCAGCGATCAGTTCAATAAGACACTTTGCGCGTTTTCGATTTGCCATTTCCGTTTCTCATTGAAAACAAATTATTTTAGAACACTCAATATATTCTCAGGACTTTCAATCAAGTTGTGGTTAAATCCCACAAATTGCAGCCGCAGTTTACAGAATGAAGACATCTTGGATCAAACTAACAATATGCTAACAAGTGACACAGAGTCACATTTATAGATGTTCTTTGAGAATTGAGCACTGCTTGCGGAATGATTTCTCCTAAGATTTTAAACAGCAATAACACTCCCTTGAGGAACGTTCGAGGGAAGACTTAACATTTGCAAATCACAGTAAACTGTAATAGGCATCATATATTTTCAAAATGTAAATTTCCGAAATATGCATGATCTTCGACATTTTCAAAACTACCAAAATTTTTGTTCTAAAAAAAATTAGTCAGCTGCCAATATTTTCAAACCCTTCAAAATTTCCAAGATATTCAAAAAAAAATTGAAAGTTGTAAAAATTTCGATAAATTTGCAAATCGTACAAATTAAATTTTCTCAAATTTTCTAAGCCTGTGGCAACTGTTCCAGCCTACTGTCGAATACCAATCCTCTTTTGAACCTGCCACAAGTACGCGTAACTGCTCTTCATCCCATAATGGTTTGCGGTCCGCACTCTGCACGTTTAAAAGCACAGACACAGATTGTTTATTTTTGTACAAAATGATTAATTCGACAGCCCATCTGCCAAGACACTGTTTCCATTCGTCACTACGGGGCTACCGATGGAATTCGTGATCGGTGTCGATTGCAATTTGTTCCTGAACTCGAATACTTGCTGAATTGCATTGCGAAAGATCAGGAAGTTGAAGTCTACAGTACCTACAAAAAACAATCAGTCATCTTTTTAGATCAATATGGAATAAAAAAAATGTTGAACAATCAAATCAATGCGACATTTCATGGTCATTTTTAAATATTTTCGAAGATAAAACTCAATAGGGTGTTATCAAACCACTTCTGCGTTTTTACCACTATGCTCTTTAAAAAAAAATCGTTAAAAGTTGAACAAAAACAGTAAGCATTTCAACCCATCAAAACTCTTGTACGTCATTATAGGACTTACCTTTATGATCAAAATTGTCTTCTCTCAGTATGCATACTAAAGCAAGAAACTTATTGACTTCTCTTAAATATAACACAGTACCATTGTTTAATTTTATAAGGCTAAAGCTTTGTTCATCAAAAGCAGTTCCATCTTGTTGTGCTTGCTCTTCCTTAACACTGAAGCAATAAAAGAGCACTAATGTTAGAAGGTCATTATGAGAGGAATATTTATCTTATAAAATATTAAATGTAATACACATAGTTTCGGTCTTGTTTTAGGTTTTGAAAATTAAGTTCAAAAAGTTCATTTTCCAAAAATCTGTGTACTTTTTTGTTCTACGTAAATAGACAAACGAAAGGAAGCTGAATACAATTGTTTTTTTTCAACACGCATTTGCATGCAGAAAGTATCACTTTTTTATGCAGGCTACTTTCACTCCACACATGCATGTTGAAAGCGACTACTTTCCGCACGCTGGTAGAAAAAATCTTATACTGAACACTTGTGGAGAGTGCAGTTTCCGCCCTTAACGGCGTCGTTCCGCTCTTGTTAGGTAAACAACTATTTGAAAAATTGAACAAAATCTTTCAAATATTTTACATACCCATATATCCATGACACATCTATCACTACATCTATCATATCACAACATAGTTCATAACTTTGCATATCTACAGGGGTGGAATCTGTGGCAATATAGATTTTTGACACCACATCGAACAGAAAAGATTTCTCAATTGCTGAATTCTGAAACAAGAAGTAAGAAATACATATGGTGTCACTTTTAAAACGCATATAAATTTTCTGAAATAAAATATCAGTAAGATCACTATGTTGCTGTTATATACTTACATTATTCAGTATATTCAATAGGTTTTCTAAGGCAGGTAACTGTGGGATAAGCTTCTGTACAACTTTTGAAAAAGCTTCAAAGATAGAATGATCATATATTGAGGTAAGATGGAAACTGAGATGAATCTGATCATAGCCTAAAATATGCAAAACAATATAATATAAAGTACCAGCTGAATTATAGTGTCTACTTCCACATCTAATAGCTTGAAGTTATATAAAAAGTTGTTTCAATTGTATAACAAGAATTGAAATTTCAAAGTTATATTACCCGAATCATTCAAATCATCAGTGGCTCTCTGGTGAATATCTCTTTGTGACTCCATTTTAAAATCATCACCTAAGCCATCTACTTTGTGAATGAACACTTCAAATTTGATATTCGGATTGATTTTATATGCCTTGGTAACCGTCAGATTCAACTTGTTCAGGGCTTCTAGGTAATCATCCTGAAAATTCTTTTTACTCAATTATTGAATACTTTTTGTAAGAATAACCAAAAAGCTAACATCCATCATCATCTAAACATATAACTATAACTTATTTCCTCTTGTAAAGAAAGTTTATGCTTCTCCAATAAAATGAGATTCATATAGAATATATTGAAACAATAAATAGTTGAAAAACCAAATCCCATTGGTAAATGAGACTCCATCCAAGGAGCTATGAAGCAACAAAAAATGTTTTTTATGTATTCGGAACCATTCACTGAAAATATACAAGGTGTTCCATTTAAAAAATAGACCTTTATTCTATAGCACTTTTCTGAGTATAAAAAGAAGATTACATATTAGACCCTATAACTTTTATATTCAACTGTTTCTTCTAGGAGGGAATATAAAAAGGTTACAGGGTGGGTCAATTTATAGCCAGACACCCTGTACAGTACTGTATACCCTCGATAACTTATTCTGACATAATTGATTCTTCAACTAAAAATTGAACGATATTATAAGAGTGTAAAGGTGCCCAAGTACAGAAAAAATGACACTGCAAGAAAATTCTGGTCTTCCAATAAACTAGATTGATGCGATGATACTCACTTGTGCATCTATGACAAATATGAGAGCTCCACATCCTCCAAATATCATGTCATAATCAAAGGCTGAATCAAAGAAATCTATCTGCCCAGGGAAATCCCAAATTTGAAATTGCACAAAGCTTGAATTGTTTATATCATCCTTAACTATCTTATTTGTACTTTCCAGGAACAGTGTTTCATTTGGAGACATCTTGTGGAATACTACTTTTTGTATTGACGATTTCCCTGATCTAAAATCATATATTAATTTAAGCGACGTCTTTAATGGGAATACACAAATAAGTAACTATTATGTCCATTATAAGCTCCATTTGGGTTCTACAAGAAACATCCCGGAAGCTTTCTGATTTCAGGAAACTGGCTCTAGTGATTAAAGCAGGAATCAAGCATACAGATATCAAAAAACAAGTGAGAATAAAAGCATTTCATTTCAAATTAGCTGTGAGGCCTAAGGATGCTGTGTAGTTAGATATAACCTTCGTAAGCCCATGAGGAGAATTCTCGGTTTCGAGTCACCAGACAAAGTTGAAATCTCCCCGTCTCCATCGAAAGGTCCATAGCCAAAGTCTTTTGGGAAAGAGCCTGGATTACCATCAAAGGGTACGCCCTCTTCATCGTCTTGATACGACTGACAAAAGAAAATATGCGGGTAGTTTACATTTGTCTTTTTATTACATTTATGTAATACCCACCATGATTTAGTAAACCTCTTCAAACGCGTTGTAGTTATCTATTGCGTTTGAAATGCATGTGTACAACACTTGCAAAAATTTGCAGTTTAGAAAAAATATCAAAATACAAGTTTGAAATTTTAGACGTAAAACTACTATGCAGCGTCGCCAAATTTCCGACATATCAAATTTTGTGCGATAGTTTTGATGCCATTCACGTATAAGACGCAAACATAAAAAGCCATCGTTTCCCACAATTCTTTATTATAAAGTGACTGATATTGAACAACGTAACATGTAAACTTGATATCATTTAATTCACACTACATACAAATTGAAATGACATACTTCGTAAATATCAAGATAAAATACGATAAGCGGCAATGAAAAATTTGAAATGACAGACGTCAACGTGTGACACATGACAGTTTATTGTCAATGTTAAATTTAAAGGATGGAGCCATGAAGTTGGATGTTGGAATAAGGATTTCAAGACTGGCTTCTAAAAGACATTCTTGTAAAAAAAGTATATTACATTACACTGATTAGGTCTTACAATTAATAAAATTATTCATGCTTCAAATGAACCCTCGAGCTATTATAAAGAAACATAGTGGATGTCATATTATGCAGTTACAGTACACTTATTCACATATTAACTCAGTAGTCCCATTCACGTCAATAAGAAACACTCATTGGTAGTATAGCTCAATATTCATTCCATCATGGATTTCATCTATTAGATAATGTTAAGGTATACTTAAAGAATAAACTGTAGTTCAAAATTAAATACTTTTGTAGTTGCATATCATAAAGCTTGCAATGCTTTGTTTACATTTAACATAATCCTCTGTTTACAATTAGTATGATGATGACTTGGCTACTAAGTAAAGAGAGGAAATTATATTACTATATTTGAATATAATATAAAAGGATACAGTCCTGTAGCTGAATATGATCTTTAAATGTAGTGTACCATTTCTTCAACACTATTTTATCCCATCGGGTACCTGTTTGAGCAGCTATTAGCTTCTTTAGGTCTCCCACAGTATCGTCAGGGTTGCATTTTACCCTGACTTTTTTACCCAAACGGTCGTTACAGGTTATTTCTAACATTTTTTTTTCACCTAAAAAAGGGCTATCTTAAAGAAAAATAAAAGTGAACAGTCTAAAATTCTTACCTATCTCTCTCTCTCTCTCTAACTGGGAGGATACCTTATGCGCTTTTACAATTATTATTAAGATGAATCTTAGTCAAAATGCAAGGGCAAGTTTCCAGAAAAGTACAACACAAACACATAACCTAGTGAGTAATAAATACGTAAAAAGTAAACATGAGATCCGAGAAGATCGACCTCGATCGCCCATCTCCAATCTGTAGTTTCATAATACATAGTCTAGGTGTTAGCAATCTAAACAATGTCTGATCTTTTCACCGCTAGAAGTCGCCAAAATATAAAAATGTGCTGGCATCTGTCAGGTAATTTATGAAATAGCTGTTTACATTACAGTATGCTGTTCTTGTATAAAATTTAGTTAAAAAAACGTCACTAGATCAGCAAACAATACTGGTGGCGCCATCTCTCGACATATTTGGAAGTAGTATCTAACCGTTCACAGAGTTCTATACTGTGTTAACTTGTAGTTATATATTTTACCTGTAGATGGCAGCACAAGTAAATGTGTCAGTGTTGCCACGTTTAGCTTTTTTCAGTAAATCTACTAAATTGATACGCCTGAAACGTTTTCCTGCTGTTTACTTTAATACTCGAAGATACGTATGGTACTGAAACAATGGAAAAAGTCAACTTAAAAAAACATTTATGTATAGTAACGCTTTATTTTATAAACAAGCCGAGATTTGTCAGAATACTGATAGCATACTTATTGATACAATACACACTATTTACAGAATAATATACAATTTGGAGCAACAATTTGTAGTTAGAAGAACAGTAAATATAACGCATTGTTTCCACTTTAGGATTTTCGTATATTACCTCTCAGAGTTTCCTGGATTTCGAGGAAACTTTTTCCCTCCGTGTTTGGAAAAAAACAGTAAGTAAAAACGATTCCTGACGCACTAACTATACCGAATAAAAGAAACGGCCAGTACATTCCCAGATAATACGCAATCAGTGGAAAACCAAAAGTGACTGCAAAACAGAGAAAAGAACCCCAAATGTTTACTACAGATACCCCAGCATTTTTCATATCATCTGGAAAAAGTTCTCCTTGAAGAGCTACGCAACCTATTCCTAGCCCGATTCCATAAGAACACATAAAAAGAATTACACATATCACTGGTATTAGCACATAGGATTCAATACCTTGAAAACCAATATTTTCCAAATAGAAATATATTCCCGTTATGAGCATGGCAACGGCGCATCCAGATGTAGAAACTAACATCAACAGACGTTTCCCACATTTTCCTACAAGACCGATTGTAATAAAACCGACAAATGACCTAACCATACCTAGCAAAACTGAAACAAAATTACCAGACAATCCTACCGAATTGAAAATAGGACCGCTGAAGGCTATAATTGCGGGAATCCCAGATGCTTCTTGCAAAAACATAGCTCCAAAGCAAATTAACGTAGCCTTCCTATTCAAAGGGTCAGTTAAAAGCATTCCCCAGTTCGCTTTTTTGTTAGAATTCGACACTGCTTCTATAGTTGCTTTGATAACATCTAGGTCTTTACTAACATCGTCTTTGTTCCTCAACTTCCTTAAAACTTCAGCCGCTTGAGTTTCGTTTGTTTTAGCGAGATAATAAGGCGATTCTGGAATAACGAACAGTATCAAAATGAAACTTAGGATCATTGGAACAGTACATACTAAAGTATAGGCCTTCACGGGGAGGTAAAACCCTGTTATATATCCATAAGGAAACCCACTAACATGAAACAGCACTATAGTACTATAAATTATCCCCCTATTACTATCTTCAGCTATCTCCGAGTTGTAAATGTTATTAACTGTCAAAGCATAGAAGAAAAGCCCGCCAAGTATAGTCCTCGTAATGTAGTAAAGATACAAAGTCTTTGCGAAGGCCAGTATCCCAAAGAAAACCAGATGCAGCAAGATGATTAGGAGTAAGGTTCTTTTTCTACCAATGAGGTCACACAGTTTGCCCATCATTAACGGTACGATCATTCCCCCGATGTAAGGTAGACCTCCAATCAGAGATTCTTCTAAAGGTGTGATCGGTTTTCCGAGTGGGTTGACATCGGGGTCGTTCGACTGGAGCTGAGGGATCACGGGTGAGGTCCATACTACTGTCGTGCTTGAGGATAGAAGCGTTAGGTTTACTGAAAAGGAAACATATATGTATTTTAAGAGCCTAAGTGCCGTCTGCTATGAGGATCCCAAAGGAACTTTGTCAATTCGATTTTTGAACTGCCTAAGGTTTGTAGAACTGGGAAAAGTATCTTGTAGATCGAACCACAATCTCGACACCCTAGGGACAAATGACCGGTCGTAGCGGAGTGTACATTCCAACCAGATGATCTCGTATAATATGATGTGTGAACAGTAAATAGCACAGGGCTTAAAACACTTCTTTGTGGGACACCAGAAATATCATATCTTGGAGCGCACATTTTATCACGCACTGAGATCTATCAGTCAAATACTCGTAGTTCGTGAACTATCGTAAAGCACTGCCGGAAAAAACAATGAATTAATTTTGTATACAGGATCTCGTGGTTAACCATATCCAACGCTTTGCTGTAGTCCAACGTCACTAGCAGCCTAACTTGACTATGTTACCAGTAATTTTGATGAAAGATGAAAAACTCCTACGTTAGCGACTAGGTACTTTAAGTTTTTCAAGCAAGCATACCCACTTATCTGTTTTCCGTACATCCGTCGCCAGGAACCACTAGACCCATATTGTACTGATGAGTTGCTAATGAGCGAGAAACAACGCTGTCTGCGGTTGGACGTGGTTACAGAGACGTAAAAAACATTTAAATGGCGTTCGGATATTTAATAGCAGCTCTCTGATGACGTGGCAACTAAGGGTGGCGGACGACAAAATCGATATTTCAATAGGTTGCTTCGGCAACGTTGCAATAAGGTAGGGCTTTTATTGGAAAATCCCGACTTATGACAGGTTACATAGGGAACTGACTACCATACAATTTTAGCATAAATACAGGGCGTTATTTAATGTTAGGCTATAATTACAAGGACCCAATCAAATTTAAGTAGAAAAGTTTATTTACATATTCAACAATATACGAAAATATCTAAGAGATGTCACAAATTATAATCAGCTACAGCACAAAGTAAGGAAATTTCTATGCCAGAGCTACTTTTACACTGTACAACAGTTTTTATCTTGCAAATTTTAAATTGCCATTATCATGTGTAGGTCTTACTCATTTTTTTCTTAATTGTAATTTTTTGTGTTTTATGTATCAATCATTTTTTCTGTCTATAAAATTGTATCCTAAACATTCTGATTTTTAAGATAAAGAGTGACAAGGTTTCAAAGAAAAAAATCGTCTTTCATTAATATCTCAAAGATCTTTGTCCTTTTGCAATACGGTGTTAAGTTAGCACTAGATCAGAGATGACTATGAATTCCAGTGGCGTGTAGAGGGGGCAGTCTTGAGAATAACATTGACAAAAAAATTACACCACCGACGTTTTCAAACAATATATTTTTTTTCGGATCAAGCAGCTTATGATACAACTTTTTTGTCTCTTGGTACCTCATCGTATCTTCCTTCATTTTCAAACAAAAAAAAACTAAATACCTACATCACATGTTCTAAAATTATAACATGATAGCAAATCAATTTTGATGATTGTTAGGGAAAATTGTTTTGTTGTCATAAACATATTTTTGACTGTCCGTGACAGTTTGCTATTATTTTTCCTCTGTCAAAAATCATTTTTTCCAATTTTTGACAACTGAGACTTGGAAAGCCGACTTTTTATGACACACGAACTTTTCTACTCGAATTTAGAAAGAGAAATGCGCCTTTGTAATTACGGTCTATCATTAAGTGACACTAGCTTAACTTTAGGGCCATATCGTCAGTCGCTCCTAACATTGTAGGATGCTTTATGGCCTCCTTGATTTTCATAGCCTTTTCTCTCCTTCAGAAAGGTTGGAGTATTTCTAGATTTCTATTATTCCGTGTCAGCGTCAGCGCTCTCTTTGTTTTCTTTTTAAATTGTAGGACATTTTAGGCTGATATAACGAACGATATAAATAAAAAGCATGAACAACTTGATGCAAATAGTTATTTTTTACATAACCTCAAAATAGAGCGCTGATACGGAACAATGAGAATCAAGGAGGCCATAAAAGCGCCTTACAATATTGTAGGAATGACTGATATTATGTTGTTTACTTATTACCTTACCGTCAGAAATTAGTAATATAACTGTCTTAAGTTCGGACTAACAAATATTTCATTTACGAAAAAATCGTGGATACATACCAGCCACTGCTGAAGCATACACATATAGATTCAATTTTCTGGTCTTCTCAGTACAGCCTAGCATTACGCCTGCACCTTAGCTCAATTCTAGGAAAAAAGCAAAATTTGCACTATTTATTCGTGAAATCATGCCCAGAAAGTTATATCTTTGTTTAATCTTGTAATCTTTTACAACAATAATGGGATCATTAGCAGTGAGTAGACTAGAAGCTGACACCTATAAGCTTTATATTGTTAGGAAAACACGTATTTACTTAATAAGCTACAAGCTCCTTAAGCCGGATGTCACACGATCAATGTGGTCCATACCGTTAGTGCCAGTGGATTTCTATGTAACATTCTACATAAATAATAATTGGCGTCCAGACTACATCCTTATCTATACTAAATGCAACACCGACCAAGAGTGCTGTAATTTTGAGCATACTTTTACAAGTTTTAGATCTACTACGAAATTTCGCAAAATAGCTGGGACATCCCATCTTAATGTTGATACTGTAGCGTTTTTCTGGGTTCTTTCGGGTGTGAATTAAAACACTGGATTCCACAAAAAGAAATGCCATAATTTATTTAACTTGGTAAAACATTTATGCACCACTATTTACGTCTAACTACTTTTTATGTCGCGTCACTGACTGGACACTTCACTCTGCTCTACTCTACCGTATTCCGTAGTCCCTGCCATCCCCCGGCCGCCGTATTATATAGTCCGCATCGTTGAGTCTAGAAAAATTGGGAGCCACATAGCAGCCTTCCCGAATAGTCGAGGTTGCTTCGCGTCGATCTAGATGCGGTCGTGATTCGCGTAAAAGCATAGATCGGCCATGAAGCTCTAGCGAGTAGGAGACTCGCCCAACAGATGGCGCTGACAGTATGATTCGTCACAATACTGTGTTAGAGCTCCTCTGTTCGCTATTTTCTTTAAAGTTCAAATTGAAAAACGTAGCACGCTTTTTCTCACTGTTTGTGACAATGGAACGACAAATTCTTAAAGCAAAAATGACAAGATTTTCTTTTTTATATTCATGATCAGCTCCAAGTCTAACAGACAATATTTGCACCAACTTAAGTAAATTCTCAAATCTTTATTGAATTCTTCGTTGACATGATGATAGATTAAAGACAATATTACTGTTGATACAAGCATACGTAGTCAGCAAAAGGTATGAATATATATGTGGAAAATTTGCACTATTCGTCAACGAAATGTAGATAATAACCGCATAAAATAGTATGATCTATGAATGTGCGGTGGATGACTTTTGTTTGGAAAAGAAGACAAATCTATGGAAAGCTCTATAGTGTATTTACACCCAAGATAGAATGGATGCGTGATTGCCAAAAGCAAGGACGGCGTACAGGGCCGCATTCAGGGCTACCTCCGAATGATGGACTACCACCAACGTGTTGTAAAACAAAGATTACAGTATTTAACAGAAACAGAAACTTGAAAAATTACTCGAACACACTTAACAACAACAACAGCAACAACCAAGCAAGGTGAATACGCGACGGACGGTGGCCTGAGTGCAACTCTGCCTGCCCTGCCCCTGCGCATTATTCCGCCAGGCGACCGCTTGAAATTTAATGGCGAATTGACCAATAAGAGGCGTTGTCCCCACCTGTTACAGAGAGATCACGCGCTGTTATTATTTACATCTCATCTTGAATTTGGATTCAGTTTAGTTGTTATTGTTTAGCAAATCCAACTTGAGCTTCGAAATGTGATGTGGAGTAAGAATTTTCCGTATCTCAACTAATTTTGTATACTTTCTGTAACTACATTGAATTGATTTGCTATTAAAACAGAACATTTACATTGTGCCACATATTATCAGTGTGTTTAGTGTGATAATGACAATAAGCTCGATGCTAATTGAATTCGCCCATAAAAGTGTGTAAAAGTTCTCTTAGGTAATTTCACTATTAATGTAGGATGTTATTGAATAAAATCTTCGTTCATTGTTGTATCTCGGTGTTTATATCACTTTCCTGATACACCTAATACGTTAAAATTGCCAATTATCCGGAACTCCTATAGTGTATTTACACCCAAGATGGAATGGATGCGTGATTGCCAAAAGCAAGGACGGCGTACAGGGCCGCATTCAGGGCTACCTCCGAATGATGGACTACCACCAACGTGTTGTAAAACAAAGATGACAGTATTTAACAGAAACAGAAACTTAACAAATTACTCAAATACACTTAACAACAACAACAGCAACAACCAAGCAAGGTGAATATACGAAAACACGAGCACGCAGTGATACACGCGACGGACGGTGGCCAGGGTGCAACTCTGCCTGCCCTGCCCCTGCCCCGCGCATTATTCCGCCAGGCGGCCGCTTGAAATTTAATGGCGAATTGACCAATAAGAGGCGTTGTCCCCACCTGTTACCGAGAGATCACGCGCTAACTGTTATTATTTACATATCATCTTGAATTTGTATTCACTTTAGTGATTTAGTGAAAACTTTTGTTAAATGATTTTTGGCAAGGGTTGTAGCAAACAAAAAAAAAATACAATGAAAAACTAGAAATGCATCCAAAAGTTGGTGTGAAGCGTATACAATTATATGCATCGCAGTTTTAAAATATTTTCGGAATTTCAAGAGTTTCAAACATTTTTCAACATCAAACCCCACAAATTATTCCATACATCACAGACCAGGTGGCTGTCACTGATTTCCGCTGTAAGTGGAATTATTGAGCAGTGTGATGCTCTAGAGAATTATTTTAGAATTGAAGCAATCGATGAAGCTTCACTAGCAGGGGAAATCCACGACATGCTTAATAATAAATTAAATAAACTATGTCTTCTTTTTTTGCAATTTATATTACCGACTACGAATATGAATTTGGAATTCCAGTCTGAACCCCCCAAGGTACATAACCTTTACCTCCCGATTAATGACGCGTGTAAATTTTTATTAAGCTGCTTCACAAAATCAGAATATTCAAGAAATACAGATATACTTAATGTTCAATATCGAAATCCAGAAAATTTTTTTACAATGGAAAAAATTTTACTTGGGTCCAAAAGTTTTGGAAGAAATGAATAATCCTTTTCCTACCGAAAATATCAAACAATGAGGTTATGTTACAAATATAGTGTGAGCAGAAAGAATGAGTCATTGCATGGCAATAACTACGACTTTTTAAGGATTGGCCATGGTCCACCCGTCTTGCATCTCTGCTACTATAGTACCCTAGTTTTTGGATATAGGATATGAAAAAACGATTCTATCTTACTCTATATCTATGTATGTTTATTACTTTTATTTAAAAAATGCATGAATACGAATGTGCATATAAAAAACAATGATGGTTGAGACGATGTTGAAATGAGATCTTTGGGCATGTTCACATCATTAAGTTGTCTTGTCCATTATCAGTTTGTTCGACATAGAACGCAAATCCGCCTTCATCTCTGTTGCCCAATCTGGGTTCTTGAATTGGTTTGACCGTATCGTCAGTTTTCTTGCGTCTCTGAAAAACAAAACTGGATGAGAATAAGAAGCAAGTCCATTTTGCTTAAAAATGAGGTAGCAGTGGTAAAAAGATCATCTGCGCCGAGAAAAAAAAAATTAAACCAATGGAAATTTTAACTACATAATCGAATTCAGTCTAAATATTCTGACGGTGATTTGTTAGGGCTCTAAATTTCGTAAGAAAGATTTTCTTTGGGGGATACATGATTATTTTTCAATTGTTGATTAAGAATTTAACTGTTTTTTATCAACTTTCCTCCAATATCTCATGAATTACGGCCATTCTGGCAAGAAAAGAATGGATTCAGATTTGTTGGGCTAGGTACCTCAAGGAGCGAAATACCTGTACAGTAAGTCTACAGGTTTGAGCTGGTTAATCTCTGCTCATTCTCACCTTTCTTAGTCTGTTCCCCTTGCAAAGACAGTTTCTCTTATTTCTCGGTCTTCGCATATTTTTTCTGAGTCTCCGTATTTGTGGAGGAACTGATGACCTTTGAATCTCTTGAACATCCGTATTTTGAACCCTATTCAAACGTTCACTGTGGACAGATAAAGGTCATTATAGAAAATGTCACACGGCCACTGTGACCGACTAGCCAGGATGCCAGTAGGACTGCATGGAAATCCAATGACACTGACGGTCTCATCAGTAAATATATGGCGCTGAGTATAGTAAATAATGTCATGTGATATTCGCTTTACACATGTAGAAACAAGATACAAGAACGCAGACTGCAGAAGCAGACAAAGGCAAAACGTATATAAAAATGATCAAATCATACTCACGTATCTACAGATGCACAATAAGAGTCCAGTAAATAGTCCAATGAGCACTCATTGTAGCAGCATTCTGTAGTAATCTGACGCTTTACTCTGTTGTCTGAAAAATCAAAATACGATATGCTTCTAACGTGGAGCTTTCATCTTGAAAACGAGGGATTAAAATCGATGAGAGAAACTTGGCGTGGTTCTCTTACCTGGGTAATAATTTCTAATTCTGTAGCTGTTAACCAGTTTGTGAGTGCATCTATTTCCAAGAAAATAATATTTTCCTGAGATGAAAAGAATTGTAGCATTAAACGTCTTTTGAAAATTATAGTTGACTTTTAGAAATGTGGGGGCGATATTATTGATAATTATCTATCTATCTTAATAGATCAGATCAGATCAGACGGAAATGTCACCATTTTATAATACTTCATCCAAATTTCCATGTTTTCATAATTTTTCCGAAAAATGAACGACGACAATTCGTCGTATACTGTATAGTCTTCTGCTTACCTGAAGAAGGTGAATAAAACGATAAGCAGAATTCTGACAAGACTCGAGCTAGCCTGCTGCCACAGTACCGCCTCGGAAATCTTCTGTCTACGTGGAACTGTATGTCTTGTGCTATCACAATTGATATTAGCAGTGTGTTCAGTGTTAGTCCTAGTGTGCTCTTCATGGCGAACACTGAAAAAAATCAAAGAAATCAATCGAAAAATAATGTGTACATGTGATGGTAAACAGTGATGGGTCCTAGGATATTTTCAAAAAATCTGGGCGTTCTTGCCATCTTGACTCTCTTCTAGAGTGACGCAAATTTATTCGCCAGCTTTTCTTAAAATATGACCCCCACTAGTGGTGGTTACGCTTAAATTAGCATGATCGCAATATCTACAATACATAAAGTTCGTGTGAAAAAAGTCCGACATATTCATATTTTAATGTACCTACTCAAAACACGCAATACAAAATTTGCTGAAACACTAATGGGTCACGAAATTATCCAAAAATGCAACTTATTAAAGTTCCTCTCATTCAAAATATCGGTAAAAGGAGGAATCTTGATTTTTCTGAGAAGTTTCGCATTGTTTGAATTGCACTGCACAGAGATGCAGTGTTAATCTACTTGATTCCACCTTTCTTCAAGACGAAGTTTGGCAACTAAGCTAAGAAGACTATCTTCACCGTTCCGTAAAGTTGATCTACTTGATGTCATCTTGACTTCAATTAGTCACCCATACATTTTCTCGAAGGCATTTTAAAATCCGAGACCAACCTTTGCAACAAAGCTAAAATGACGTTATGTGTTCACCTCTCCACCGAGTTGATCTACTTGACTGCCTTCCGTGGCATGCCTGGAATCTGACTTAAATTGCTTGTGCACTTCTTTCAAAACATTTCTAAAATTCAAGACCAAGGCTTGCGAGAAAAGACGTTTTATTTTCGCAGTTCCACAGAGTTGAGCTACTTGACTCTATCTTGTATTAAAAATCAAACATAGGTCTGACATACCAGGACTGTCTTACTTTAATCGCCTACGTACTGCCTCAAAGAAATTTTGAAATTCATGAAGAAGCTTTGCAACAAAGTTAAAAAGATGTTCTATGTTCACCGTTCCGCAGAGTTGTTTTACTTTGGGAAAGAAACGCAAGTCAGGCATACCAGGACTGTGTGACTAAAATCAATCGCCTGTGAACATCCTCGAAGGCACCGATATACCGAGTTAACCTACTTGACTCTAGCTTTCTTTGAAAAGGAAACACAATGTGGCATACCAGAACTTTCTGACTTCAACGGCCCTGCACTGTCTCAAAGACATTTTTAAAACTCAAGACGAAGTTTTGCAACAAGGCTAAAGAGACGTTCCCTTTTCACCTTTCCACAAAGTTGATCTACTTGACGATGTGTAGGAACAAAGTTAAAAATATTATCTGTCATCGTTCCAAAGAGTTGATCTACTTGACTTCACATTTCCATTAGAAAAACAGAAGTTCTATCAATCGCCCATGCACTTCCTCAAAGGCATTTCAAAAATCAAGGCAAAGCTTAACTAAAAAGACGTTTTGCTTTCACTGTTCTGCAGAGTTGATCTACTTGATTCCATTTCCCCTTAAAATGGAAATACAAGTCTGGCTTACCAGACCTTTCTGCCTCAAAGACGTTTTTAAAATTCAAGACGAAGTTTTGCAACAAAGCTAAAGAGACGTTCTCTTTTCACCTTACCGCAGAGTTGATCTCCTTGACACCATCTTTCTTAAAAAAGGAACACAAGTTTGGCATACCAGAGCTTTCTAACTAGGACCGCCCGTGCACTGTCTCAAAGACACTTTTAAAACTCAAGACAAAGTTGTCCAACGCCAGTACCGGTTTAAAGAAGATACTTTACCGTATTCAGTTAGCTTGCTCGTGCAGAATATGTGCACTGGTGCAGAATCCTGGAAAGCACACTTGATTGAACCACAATACGTAATAATCCGTTTCCACGACAAGGTCTCAATATATCCCTATTAAGGGTATCAAATTTCAAAACTGCCTATAGTGTTACCATGGCGCTAAAGGTGTTCAATTTGTTCGTATTATGATCCTATTGGAGCCCAGGATATCGATGCAGGTAATCTGATACGTAGGGCGAGGTTGTTATACTCGTTATAACGCGATATTTACAGTCGTTATTGCTACATGCTACAGAATAATACGTTCAGTCTTATTTTATACTTGAGCCCTATAAAATCATTTAATGTACCTACACATTTTGGTCACTCCTTCAGTACATGATACTTTTTCAAAATTAACAATAAATAATAATAAACATCTTTATTCTAGCAATAAGTTATAAGAGCCGTATCGTCAGTCACTCCTACAATTGTAGGACGCCTAAAGGCCTCCTTGATTTTCATAGTTTTCTGCTGTTCCGTATCAGCGCTCTATTTTGAGGTTATGTTACAAATATCTATTTGCATCAAATTGTGCATGCTTTTGATTTATTTCATCGGTTATATCAGCTTGAAATTTCCTACAATTCAAAAAGAAAACATAGCCTCACAATAGGAGAGCGTTGACACTGACACGGAACAGTGCAAATCTAGAAATATAATATATATAAATAGATTTGTGAACCCTTTGTTGATTGGTCAGGCTTTTGTTCTCACCGTCATTGATTGTCAACCTTTCAGTTCGATAATCCAGCTTTTTAATGTAAATCAATGTAATTCTCAAACTGTGAGGTCCACGTCCAAGTATGTTCAACAAAAACTATTCAGAATTTCTCGTACGATACAAATATCGAATAAAATGAATAGCATTCCATGAGAAAAACAAAAGTTGCTATCAGTTTCTGAAAAACTGTAGATTTGGCAACATCAACGAGTCCGCCGTGGTATCGAACCTAAACTTACTTTTGTTTTAAACTACTAGATGAGTCAATCGCCGGATATTTAATGCGGTCCAATTTTTTGTTACAGTCCGTATGTGTTATTTTGGATTCAACGTTTTGTTATGTAGTGCAACTATATCAATTTTGTATTACTCGTATAATACCCTTAAATGTAAAAAGAAACGAAATAAAAATTGGTCCACACACTTAGCGGCTACCCTACCCTACAAATACAGGGTGATTAACAAGTCGTGACCAAAAATGCAACATCATACATAGGACCACATTTTAAGGGGGTCTTCTATGTAACATTTTTTCCTGGAGGGTTACATTAAAAAGATTTTTAAATACGTTCTTCTATATTAGAAAGATGCCGCACTTGTATCCGTCGGTCTTTCTGAACATTTATTGAAATAAAGCTTGGATTATCTAATTTGTTTGTTTTTTATTTTTACGAAAACAATACACTCTAGGAAAAACACAAGAGTAATTATTTGTAACAAATTGAAGGTAAAATTAAAAAAATTGCGAGCTTCGGAAAAAAAACAGTGACCTACTATTTTCATTTGGAAAAATAATGCCACTCATCCCCTGTATCTCCGCCACTGCTGCACGTTAATTTTGAGTAAAGACTTTTGAGTGTCGACAATACTTTGGTAAATCCACATAGGTACTAAATTTTAGGTCATTCCAGCTGGCGATTTTGAAGATATTAAATTTATTGTAATTTAGGCTGTTGAGTCGTGGTCGGATTGGATTTGGTCCATAGCTTTCGGCTACATCTGCGGTTGCCATCTTCAGAGGCACTGTCGGCGAGAGCGAAGTGCTCGGCTTGGCGGGTCGATTGAGACTGATCGGTTAACTGGATGAGCGTGCGGTTTTATAGGCGATCGGCAGACAGAACTGAGTTGTTTGGCGGGGGTACTCTGGGTCTCTTGAGTGACGTAGCTTTGCGCTGTGTTTTTCAGAATTGGGAACCACGTTTTGTTTAAAGCAAGGCCTCCTTCTCTTCTATTGAAATTATCATTGTGTGTATAGATTTCAATTGCTGCTCTGTACATTCGGGCTGAGTAGTGGGTGGATGTTGATAGGACTTCAGTTTGGTCGAACAGAACATTGTGGCCGTCTTGGAGTGCGTGTTCGGCCACCGCTGATTTATCAGTTTGTCCCAGTCGACAGTTTCTTTCATGCTCCTTGATGCGTGTTTGGAAGCTACGTTTAGTGGTGCCTACGTATACTATCAGACCAAAATAGAAGAACTACTGGACCCTGCCATATATAAATCCATCCGCAATGACCCAACGCGGAGATTCCTGAGAAAAGCCAGTCTACTCATTAAACAGTCGTCGTTACCCCCTGAGGTGAAAAAATCGCTATGTAAATCAGAAGCGCTTCCACCCAGATTGTATGGTCTACCAAAAATGCACAAGCCATCTGTCAAAACATCAGATACACACTGCAAGAAACTTGTGACAATCTCTTCTTTGGCCGTGGGCTTCTTAACATAAGTGCCAAAGATCTTTAACATCTACAAGACAAAACTGAAAAGCAGTTGTTGTTATGATAGCTAAATACGGATAATGATTCAGTAATTGATCCCACTTACATTGTTTTGATTTTGTTTGTTTTGCTGGAAAATCTCAAAACTTAAATCCCACACAATTGATGTTTACAAGAGATTATAATGTTTGTAGCCTTATCTAAGGGATATTATTAGAATTATTGGCTACGATCATTAGCATTAGCAGTCAACAACACTGATACGGGTACACATTAGGATACCATGTGCAAGAAAAAATACATTGAAAATCAATAAATAATACTGGAAATAGAATTATTTTGTTTTCCACGTGCCACGAATTGTTTTGACCCAAAACTGACCGGATTTTAATGTTCTTTCCTTGTACATGGTGTTTTCTAAACATCGAGCAAACATTCAGGGGGTTATTTTGTGAAATATTCTGAGTGATTTGATAAGTTTAGTAAAGCCGCTTAGTTTCCAAGATACTAGTGATTTCAAAAAGTAAGGTGAAATTGTTTATAAAATGTAAATTCTTCATTTATGCTTCCAAATCAATTTCATCCCTTCAAAGTAATCCCCGTCCGTTAACACGCTTTTTCCAATCCTCGAAACAGTCGGAATAGTCTTCCTTAATTGAGATTCAAAGCTAGAAATTAGTTTCGAATCCACTTTTTCTTATCCAATCTGGAAATTACATATACCAATTTGCTGAACTTCAAAAATGAGAGTGATAAGAAATAATTATATTCACTGTACACTGTCGAATTAGGTACAAGCCATATACCTGTACATGATAACAGTAATTACACACAACGCAGGCGCGGTGATGATTTCCCGTAATTGTCCTCAGTTTTTCGTAATTTATAACTCTGAACATAACCTCTCTTCAGAAAGCACAACATATAAATAACATATTCAGTAATGCTTTTCTCACACAGCAAATATCACTAATTTTATGCAGACCAATACACATAATCATCCAGATGCGATTTTGCTATTCAACCAACTTTCTTCTCAGAGATAAAACTACAGAAATGGATCACTCAGTCTCACAAAACTATGCAACCAATAATGCATGTAGCTAGTTGAGTGATTCCTCCATAGATGGACGTTCACAACGATCCTAGTGAGCAAGCGTCGAATGACTGTTTGCGCCCTAAAAACTACCTAGTCTGCAAGTTGACATCTTATTGGTTTTTTTTTGATGTTTTGTAGTTTTTTACATGATACCCGTGCGCATACCCGTATTCCGATTATTCAAATTCAAAAATATTTACTTATCCTACAATCTGTTTATAGACAGCCATATGTCCAGATAACTCCTTATCACAATGACTTATGTTCCCAGTTCCAAGATTAATACGCGTTTCACTAGGAAATATAACTCTTATTACTTAAACTATGTCATGGAATGGAAACTTCATTGTTTTAACATTTCAAGCATTCTTATCGACGTGGTATTTTACACTTAATACTCAATAGCTCCGTAACGACTACCAACATTTTTGAGTCAGAAACGTATGAATCTTTGATATTTCAAACAAAATTTGCATTTACGGTGAATGAAAGCTGAGTAGAGGAAATTTTCTTGCTGGTAGGACTTTTTTCATTCTAGATACCCAAAAGATAGAGGAGTACTGACAAATTGCTAACGTATTTAGCTTCACTTAGCTTTTGAAATAATGTTACAAAGACCACGTGCATTTACTGCACAGAAGTCAAAGATATTGGTGAGAAGAGCAATCAAACAGGTGGGAATGTCAACAAGGAGACTGGCTCATCAGCACCGATCTTCTAAGATTACGATATCGTTGGAATTGAAAAGGAATGGTCTTAAATATCGAAAGAGACTTAAGGGCCCCAAATACTCTCATTCGCAACTCCGTATACCAAGATGCTGTCATCAAGATGGGTGTATCCCTTTTGTGGGAAGAGTAGGGGTGAAGCTTTGAATAGTCAAAGCTATATTGATAACTGCCCAGTTTGTCCACAAACATCATGCTAATATATTGTGCCAAAACTTATACATAGTTAATATCGTCTTCATTAACAACTACGTAAGTGGGGTTGATTATGACGAAGTTTAGCTAACGCTATTCTTACACTTAACTGTATGAATGAGAAGTAAACATGGTAAAATAAATGCAAAGCAATCAAGCTTTTCTATTGCAATTTCACAGTATTGAAACCAGTCAAAACTAAGATGGGACTACAACCTACATACAGCCAAAATGCCCATAGTTTGTATATTATTAGCAAAGAGAAGAAAAATTATAACGTAGAGCTCTGTAAGTAGAACCTAACTTGCAGACAAATTCATAGAAGGCAAGAGTACTATTATAGAGACTAGCAGCAATATAGGAAAATTTAAGTTAGAAAAGCGAGATGCATTGATGTGGGATTTTAATATTGAAAGTATGTCTAAAGGTTTTGTTGTGAATTTCACTAGAAAAAATAAATTCTCTTAGGGATGTTCTCGGTTTGATTATTGCGAGGAAGGTAGGTAAAGCTGGGGTGCTTCTCTTCAGCAATTCTATTTAAAGTTGTTTTCAGCATTCCTACTTCCTCTACAATATATTCTGCGCCTATATGCATTGTTTTTTTTAAATGTATATATCCTGGGTTATGTGTTGCTAAGTAAATATGTAATGAGAAGCTTGGCATCTCCATCCACTAAACCTAAAATGTGTCGACGAGAGCGCAGAAGGACAAATTCTATTGGTATTCCGGTAGAAACTCGCCTAATCACCGACTATGCATCCAGTTAAAAGTAGGGAAGCGTCTCAACAAGTAGTGTGGCTCTGCTCCCAATCAGTAAATATCAAAAAAAAGCCAAATATTTGAATCCCAAGAACGAAAAACAAATTTATCAAAAATGAAAAAAATATTTACCAGTTCCACTAGGCACGAGTCCCTTTATTGGCACTTACATATCGGAACAAAAACAATCAGTAACAACCACCACAAGGTGGTCACCGACTGGGGTCACTGATGGTCAACTGGTGAAGCAAAACCTCGCGAATACAACCACGACTGAGCTGAGAGCTGACTAGATGTTCACTCAGATCACTTTTATGGGGATATTAAACTGAAACAAATATTTCTTATTCTTAGCGGCCCACTTTCTATAGTCCAGTCAAACTATTCGTTCTTCAACACGTACGATGGGCGTCCTATAATACAGGTCAAACCTGCGGCGATATTTTCGCAAGCAATCGCTGAATTCTGTGCAAACTGCTTCGCGTTTCACTGTGAGATTCAAAAATGGCGTCAAGTAAATTGACTCTATACTTACCGCTCTTCGAAACAGCTTCTAGTACAATTTTCCATGTGACAGATAACAAAAATACGTAGACTTTGTCACCAGCAAAGCTGTGAATCGATTTTCTTTAGTAGTCCTAGGGGACCGGCAGGTGGAATCCAGTTTACGGACCCCATACGCCGTGGTTCCAGCTCGCATGGGAGTGTGGGACTCCAGCCATATTCCAGTAGACTAACTACCCACTAAACCACCTCCTCTGAATCGATTTATCGTACAGAAAAGTCGTTTATATTTCAAGATCAATCAGGGCCTGTCTAAGAGGCCTATGCACTGGCTCCTTTTGGGTGAAGGTATGCCTCTAATTTTATGTTTTATTGATTCATTCAAGTATCCACCTCTCCATCACCTTACTTATAACAGAAAGCACAACCGTAGGTTTGAATTTTCAACTTTGTTATTAAAATCGACCTAGGAAGGTCACGATTGATATCTTCGTTGACATGGATAACACTGATACTAGAAAAAGTAAACTTATAAATCCAACTAAAACGTTTGAATGTATAATATTTATATTCTTCCAACGAACTTAATAAGTATACTAAGTGACATATAAATCCGAACACCCAGTTTAAATGGTTTTATTTTAATAGAAGTTGGTGAATGTATTTATCTTACTGTAAATAACAAGTGAAAAAATGTTCAGCCTTATCAGTTGGACATTCCGGTTTTTATACTGCTTTTTTTTAATTCACTAACGCTCTAAAAATGAATATTTCAGCCGCAGTAAAAAATCAACGTTGGCGGATTTTGGTTCTTGACATCCTTTACGATCGGTTACGATGCCTAGAGTACGGAGACCTGTACGATTTCGTCAACTTAGTGAGTTTGATAGGGGCCGTATAGTGGGACTTCGGGAAGCTGGACTTTCTTTTCGGGCAATTGCAGTTAGAGTGCAAAGAAGTGTAGACACTGTGGTTAGGTGTTGTCAGGCATGGCTTCGAGAATGCCGTACGCAAAGAGCAAGGGGCACTGGACGCCGCCGTAGAACAACAGACCGTGAAGATCGCCGCCTAAGATTATTGGCCTTAAGGGACCGTTTCTCCACTACCAGGTCCATTGCAAATGAATGGTTTGCAGAACACGGAAGACCTATTGGCATGCGAAGTGTTTACCGATGAATGAGAAGTTTTGGCTTGTTTTCATACCGGCCACACTGGGTCCTCCCTTTAACTCGAGAACACCGACGTAATCGCCTTGAGTGGTGCAGACAACGGTCACTCTGGGATCAGGAATGGAACAGTATTGTCTTTAGTGACGAGTCCCGATTTTGTTTAGGCATGCACGATGGTCGTGCCAGGGTTAGAAGGCGACGTGGTGAAAGGAGGAATCCACAGTTTTTTGTTGAAAGACATGTTCATCACACTGTTGGAGTTATGGTTAGGGGTGCTATAGCTTATGGTTCCAGGTCACCTTTAATCTTCATCAGAGGTAACATGAATGCACAGCGTTATATCCACGAAGTTCTAGAACCCCATCTTTTACCCTATCTTGACACCCTGGCAGATCCAACTTTCCAACAAGATAATGCCCGACCACATGTTGCAAGAGTCACAATAGACTTCTTTCAACATAATGATGTCACATTGTTACCATGGCCACCAAGATCTCCCGACTTATCCCCAACTGAGCACGTGTGGCATATGATGGGTAGGAGATTGCTCAATTTGCAAAGTCCTCCTCAGACTCTAGAAGCACTTCGAGAAGAGTTGGTGGTTGCCTGGAATGAGATACGACAGGAGGACATTGACCACCTGATCAGAAGCATGCATAAGGGGCGTTGGAGAATGCGTAGCACATCAGGGTGCATCCACACATTATTAAAGGTCAAAGGGCTTTAAAGCAGTGCAATCATTTTGAAATGTTTGTCATTTACTTATTATGCTTCATTAAGTACTTATACAAAATTTTATTAAAATAAAACCATTTAAACTGGGTGTTCGGATTTATATGTCACTTAGCATATTTCAAACCGAAAGTTTACACGATTGCTTTGCCGGGAACGTAAAACTTTTACGTTATATGTATAGTTAACTTGAACAGTTTCAAAATAGCTTTAATGTATATTCTTTATCTTCTTGGGACAACTTACATATTGATAGTCTTTCATTTTTTCTATCTCCGGTTATTCTATACTCCGGTAGTTTTCTTTAGCTGTTTTAAAAGATAAAATCAAGTAATAATAGCACACGAAACACTAAATTACCTGCACTATAACCCTCATGTGTATCTAGCCATATTATTGGGACATTAGCAACCAGGTAAAGCCCTTGTGATTCCATGACTCACCATATATTTATCTGTTTTGACAATCCGGCGTAAACATCAATTCAAATATTCTACAATCCCATGTTTACTGATATCGTCATGAATTTATTTAAATAATTTCATGCAATCTGCACATAGGTGCAGGTACATAGGTGTGTGAGATATTTCTGGATTGTTATTCTATCCAAACGCAATTGTTTTTATGAATATATGAACTACTTTTTTCACGTTAGCAATCTGAAATTTGAGGTGATAGAATCGATGTTTCGAATACCATATCCTAATCTAAAACTGACATTTAGAGATTTCAAGATGGCGTCTGTGCGCCAATCGGCAACAGTTTTTTAATATGACATCTCGTTTTGGCGAACTTTGTCAGTACTTTAGACCGTTGAGTACAAATTTACCATCTTTTAACATAAAAGACTGGCGAGCTGTCAAATTTGAGTGTTTTGTACACTGAATCTACAAAGAAACATTTGGAAGGGTCTAACTGAATCTGCAATAAAATATGGTAAAATGCATTTAAGGAAATTAACTTCATCTCAAATGGAGCATTCTAAATTTGATTACATACTCAGGTAGATCTTCGCAAGAGCAGACGATTGATATAACCACTGCAATTAAATGTACAAATACACTCAAATTTGACAGCTTGTCCGACGCCATTTTGAAAGACAGTATACTAGAGGACAAAGCACTAAAGAAAAAAGAGGTATCACGTACTCCCCATACCATTTCCAAAATAAAAAAAATCCAAATTAGCTGACACTTTTACGTCAATTTATAGTATACATGTATCACCCAAAATTACAGCTTGATGACTTCTTAATTATAGGAGCTTCTTAAAAAGTACTATATAGTGTAAACTATGCCACCTGTTGAGAAAACTGAGTAGAGCGGCTATTAAGGACAAAGCAAAAACTATCTTGAATGTTCTACATGGAAATATAAAAATTATAATGTTTTTAAATATAGTTTCAAAAAATATCAACACTTCAACTTTCGATGCCAACCTTTATTTGTAAGGTCATTCAACCATCAAGTTATGTAGGAGTGAATACGCATCTTGTTTACTAAACATTAATTACTTTGGGGGTAGAATTTAACGTCGTCAACAGCCCCTTTCATTAACTTGATATGAATATTCAGTAGCTTTACGTCACTTGTACTTTCAAAATTATCTCGGTCCTTGTATGCCAGAATCTACCAGAATATTCTACAATGTACGCAAAGGATGACAAATGTCTCAAGCATCATTGTCAGATTAACGATAATAGTATGGCTTGAAAGTTGGCTGGCACTATATACGTAGGCGCTTGTAGAGGGGGGTCTAGGCGCCCGTGGCCCACCTGAGCATCTGGCTGCCCTCTCCGCTTTGCAACTTTATCCTAGTTTTGTGTACCATATTTAAGGTTTGAGAGGTTTGACCCCTACGTAAAGATGAGATTCCAATATTTCCTGGCGGTTTTTATACTAAAGTGTCAGGGAAATCTTAAGAAATGTAAGATGCATAAACAAAAACAAGCTTCGTTGTACACTCCAGTATAATATCTCACATCATCCCCGTACAAAGACCCGCACCGCCCTGTACAAGCACTTTCACACCGCCCTGTACAACCAGCCAGGCGACGCCGTTGAAGTTAAGGCCTGAATGGTGTCTAGGTAATATAAAAAATTAAAGTGACCATTAGGCATGTGTCGTCCGCGAACGAGTTGTTCAAAATGAACGACTCATCTATGTGAGCGATGATTGAACGACTCTTTTGTTACATATGACTAGTTCAATTGTGCAAAGCGTGTCTGCACGACTGCAGTATCCAGCAACTGAACTGCAAACTGACAACAGACACAATCTAGAGAACCCGGTTGTTTTGTTTTGAGATGTCTCATTAGATTATACGTTGAAATGATGGGATTTGAGAGCAAAAATTGCATTTTGATTCAGAATTCGGTAATTCATCAAAACCGAACCACATATCCCTTCTTTTTTCGGAAGAATGTATACATTCGTTACATTCAATTTCAACCAAAAATATTAATACTTAAATAAATGCGATAACATCGGCAACCCTAACCCTTCATTTCATGTTCATAGTATGATGTATATTCTGACTCAGTGAGTCGTTAGTATAGGCAACACAATACTCTCGTCAGCTTCGAGGCCGGTCGGTAATTCTATCGTTCAAATGAACGACTCCAAACGAACGAGTCACTGAAGAGAGATGAACGAAATGAACGAGCTCAGAGAAACGAGTCGTATGTCTCAGGCCTAGTGACCATGCTAAAGCCAATAGAACCTGTTCTAGATGTGGTGGTAAAAATTACGTCAATAACAAGTCCACACAGTGAAAATCTGCTGAGTCGTAAAATATCTAAGATATGCCAGTTATCCATTGCAATTAACTATTTATGAGAGCGGTAACACCTGAGCACCTCCATTGTTGAAAAATAGATAAGGGTGACTACACTTTCATGCGTAAAGGAGCCTTCGTTGGGGACCGTCAATTATCGATGGTATGACAATGGATATTATCGGAAAATTGTGTTTTGTCCCTTAATAGCTTATTTTCTATAATAATGCAGACATTATGGTATTCAATAGACCATTTAGTGTCATAGACACAATACGCATGGCGTAGCAATACTTCTTGAGCATGAAGTTGATTACTGGAAAGGTTTTATTCAGCTTAACAATCAAACTGTTCTGGACCATATTTGGAAATTTAGATTGGCGTGTAAATATTCGAAATGGGTGACACATGAATAATTTGAATGATAGAGTACATCTCTGTCTGCAGGGAGAAAAATCGAACCTTTTATGTACCGGCTTGTGACAGGGTGGATCTATACAAACTCTTATTTTCCCTTATGGGCAGAACCATCTCGCATGAGAGGAGAAGCATCCAAGTTCAGTGGGAATTTATGAGACAAATACAGACGATTGACGGTCTCTCTACGGTTGCTAAGGTTCCTTCAAGAAGGTCTATTTCGGGGAAATACACCCTGATACATTGGACGGGACTTGCAATAATCCAGTTCTTATTGCAAAAAGTTTTTCCTCGTGGATTCCGATGCGTACAAGAAGAGAGAAAAGTGTCCTACACATATCTTAGAATGGGTTTTTCAAACAAGTAGTAGTATTTTATTTTTGTTATTCATACAGGGTGCTAATTAAGTATGTAAATTAAATTCAACAGACGATTACTTGAGTAATTTTAAGACAAAAAGTTCGTATAAACATAGGTCTGCAAATTATTACTTCTCAAGATACAGGGTGTTAAAATTTAAAGAAAATTTTTTTTTCGTAAATATCTTAAATATCCTTAACCTAATCTTGTTGTAATGTGGCGATGGTAGTTTTAACTTTAAGGAGCTAATTTAGCTCTCTCGAGCGAGATCTGAACGAATATTTGTGACAAAAAAATGTACGCCACTGACCTTTGCGCAATTTTTATTATGTTCTTTGCATTAAGCAAACAGGAACACAACGTTTTTGTCTCTTGAATTTTTTTCGTATCTAATACTAAATAACATTATCTTCTAGACTAATAAATTCGAAATGGCCCCCTTCGGCATACAATGGCCCAGCCGCCTCAGCGCCTAATGATTGAATTACGCACTCCCCTAAAAATACTTTACGTATTTTTTATTATACAGGGTGTCCCAAAAAAAATCTGCAATATTCTACCAGCGGTTTCTAGAGCTTAAAATAGGAAGAAAAGTTTATATAAACATAGGTCGACAAACGTCCCCTAAGGGTGCTACGGTCTTTTAAAGGGGCTCCCCTTAATATTTCCGAAACGTGTTGAGATAAAGACATAAAATTTGGTATCCTAGGGCTCAGGTTATTTTAGCCGCAAAATTTTGTACGGCGAACAACTATTGGATTTTCATCTGACCAGTGATGCATGTTATGGAAATTAAAAGCACCATTCCTAGTAAATATTGACTGATCCGACCATAATATTCTAGGAATAGTGTTTTCATTTGCTAATATCCACTGGCAAAACTCGATTCGTGGTAAAAATCTGCCTCCGTTAAATGCTGCACCCGTTTAAAATGATAAGGATGTAATCCTTGCATTCTTGTCATTCTTCCTATCTAAAATTATTATTTTTAGAATGACAATCAAATAGGTATTCATAAGTTTTTCTTACTATTGATCTAGCTATATCCGTAATATCTGAAACATTTCGTAGGCTTATTTGCGGATTATTTTCAAACATATTTAAAGCAATATCCATACGATGATTTCCCAGTGGCCTTCCTGAGCCCTGCATGCGCTGAAAACTTCCATGGTTTGACAAATTCCGGTGAATATCAGTAAACATTCGACGTCAAAGTACTATGCGATTGGGAAATCTTCTTTGATATTCTCTTACGGCTACCAATGAACTGCCATTACAAAACCCGTACACAAAATGCATGTCAGTCAGTTCTCTGTCTGTAAATCTTGGCACTTCAATCGATTTAATAAAAATTTTTGATTTTAATCTAGTAATTTTACACTGCTAACAATGTCAGTTTAACGTCAAAATAAGTCATAAAAAATCAAAACAACTTTTGTTTGCAGTCATGGCTAACTATATATAATCAACAATTCATTTAAATTGACAGTACATTTCCTATCATGTGACAAATTTTTTAGTTTGATTTTATTCAAAAATGGCACAATTTCTCGATATTCAATAAGAGTACCTTTTTTAGTAGAAAACCATAAATTTTCAAATTCTAAAATTCAGTTTCAAAAATAGAATCACACAAAAATTTTGGGGGGAGTCCGTCCCTATTACATACGCTTCCAAACAAAACTGTCTAAAATTGATAATATTTTTAAATCCAGCATAAAAAACTAGGCTAGAATACCAAATTTTACGTCTTTACCTGAACACGTTTCGGAAATATTAAGGAAAAACCATCTGCAGGGGAGCCCCTTTAAAAGACCGTAGCGCCCTTAGGGGACGTTTTTCGACCTATGTTTATATGAACTTTTCTTCCTATTTTAAGCTCTAGAAACCGCTGGTAGAATATTGCACCCTGTATATTATTATATTTAACCAATGTCACTCCTTAATTTTATGTGAAATGTGATCATACTTCCTTATCCCACACACTAACCTGCATCGGCTATTCTGGACCTTTTGGACACGCAGAGTGTAGTAAACAAGGGCCATATATAAAATCACAATATCTACAATGACTCAAAACTAGCAGTACACACAATTTTCTTTCGACTTGTGTTGAACATAGTCTATTAGATGCGTGGGAACTGAAGAGTCAACCTACTTGACGCCATTTTGCACTACTAAATCGCCCCATTCCAAAGGATTCCTTGGTATCGCAACTCCTTTAATGTACTGATTCACTTACGGCGATAAACTGCGAACCGTGATGTTATTTTGTCAAAAGGCAATAAAATTCGTTATGTTTACGCAACTTTCGATGTTGTAATCGTTTTTCACCAGTTTCTATATTGAAATTTCCTGCTCGGATAATAAAACCAGCTACATCCACTCTGATGATCAATGTCACTACGACCCATAAATTTTGAATTCCAAAGTATGAATAATATGTGGAAAGAAAGTTACACCTCTGAATAACGTTGATTGAATTTTTTTCCGCGTCTCTCCAAAAGTCTTCTATCAAAGTAAAAGGTCACGCTTTTCCCTCGTTCCTTGATAAGCGGTGAGGTATTCATGGAAGTGGAAATACTTTTTTCGCAGCGGAAAAGTTTTTAATGCCATCAGCTTTCCAGAGAGGTCTTTTGATCTTCAAGTTAATTTTCGTACATTATAAAGGCCGTAAGGTATGGATATATTAGAAGCTACCCCAAGAACAATGTTTTACCTCAAGTATAAACGATGATGGCTGGGGTTGTAAAACTGACGGAGAAAACCCTTTCTGGTATATTTGAAATGCATCATCACTGCATGAAAAGCGAGTTTTAGTAATCGCAAATATCAGGGTTGCGGCGATTTAAATCAGAGCATACAAACAACGGGATGTCAAACATAAGTCAAGGTCAGAATTTCAGCGAAGGTGGCAGAGGCTCGGAATAAGTATTTCAGGCTGTATCGAACAAATTTAGCTCGAAAATTTTGAAGAGAATCTTGTAACACATATCTTGTATAGATAGCTTACAATTTCCGATCTGCTTCTATCTAGCATGAGACCCAATACCGAAGAAAAGGAGCAAGCCATTTTTGGGCGAGACGTTAGCCCTTTTTTCTGCTGAACCATCTAATGAAAGCTCGCCAGAGAGTGATGAATGTAGTGAATTGTAATTAAGAAGTGTGTTGTAGTTTTCCCAAATTCTTTTGTATATTGCTCATAAATTATTTACAAGATGAATCATTGTATTTTTTTATTTTTTATTCCAAAATAAAGAAAACTGTTGCAATATAATCGTTGTTTAAAAGCTCATTAGAAACTAAAAGATCTTTCTCGTGCACAAAAATTGCGGTTTGAATGAAATTGAAAACTATAGAGCCATATCAAATTTTGAAATGATTCTGTATCGTTTAGTCTGTAGCCAAGTTTCTTTTTCTCAGCATGGTATTTTCAAGGGCAGATTTACTATCACCACTTTTTATTCCGGAGAATGCCTTCCGTGACGCCTTCAATGCTTGGAAATCGCGCTGGCAGCGCTGCATCGACGCAGAAGGAGCCTATTTTGAACGTTTTTAAAGAATTGTAACGATTGGCTCAATAAATTTTTTTAAATCGACTCAGTCCTATTACTTTCCGGACAAACCCTGTATATAGATTTTTCTAAAGCTGTTGACAAGATAGATCATGGTATTCTATTGAGCAAAGTATCTAATTTTGTATTTTAAAATGTAATGGTTAATTACAGTCAATCATATCTTGAAAACAGGTCTCAATATGTTTTAATGATGGTTTTGTATGTCAAGAATACAAGTCAGCTTCAGGTGTACCGCAAGGTTCCAGCCTAGGTCCCCTTCCATTTTTACAGTACATAAACGATCTATGTTACAACCTGTCTTGTTTCATATGCTGATAATCTGGAAATTTTCGTAGCAATTAGAAATATCTCAGATTGCCGTATTTAGGAATTGTAGGAATTGGTTACTTGCAAGATTAGTACCAGATTTTTTTGAATATTTTTTTTGAAATCAGCAGCCTAAAATTAACAAAAAACTGTGAAATGTTTGTGGCTGGCTAGATCTCTGTGTGACGGAAATGAGTAACATGGTTTCTCATGCAACATCAAAAAAACGTAACATCGCGTTTTCGGAATTTTTCGCAATTACACTACTTCTTCCTCAGGCTCAGTGGCGCGGGAAGTAATGGAGCTTTTTGGACGCCGGTCGCATGTCCAGCATCTCACTAACCTATATTTTAGTAGAGCGTCGCTGGCGAGCGTCAGTTTGTTCCCGTCGCGACGCTAGCGTCCACGACGTCGTTTCCCGCTCTCAAATCACCGCGTCCTCGTGTCGTCAAAGTCAGTACATGCTTCCAAGATCTTTAACAAATCGCTAGGAATCTGGATCATATTTGGGTGTGATATTGCTGCTCATCAATGCAAGTAAGTCATTTCTAAAAGAGTAAGATAGTGGCGAGCATTGCAACATTACCTTCTTAGCTGAGAACGATTTAGTTGTTGATTAATTTTAGAACTAAGACGAGTTAAATCATACTATACTATAGATTTAATACTTCTGAGTATAATGGAAATGTATCAAAATTCTAACAAAAGATTGCTACAATATTTTATAAGGATTTATACTCGTATATATTCAGTGACATTAGGAGTGTTACGCCCAGAAAAAATGATTTCTTCCTCTTGATTTTTTGGCATTGAGGTAGTATTACATCCAGAATAATACGATAATATTCTCACGCAAATAAGGTCTTGTCATTTCTGACATTGTAGAGTCCATTGAGTTTTGTCAGTAGAGCTAATAAAAATAAAGGTTTCGGTTGGCATATTTGTCATTAAAAATCCTGCTGTGTGTTCTCTAGATTTCAGTTAAGTAAATCATCCTCAAGAACTCTACTAACAAAACTTAATGGACTCTCGAATGTCAGAAATGACAGGAAATTACATTCGGTACCGATCATTGCTTAGGTGAAAAAAACAGCTTTTATTGTTTATACGAGTATATTAATGTTTGACCGCGAATGTTTCCAAAGTTTCTCGCAGAATACAAATATCGAATAAAATGTAGATATAGCATTCCATGGGAAAAACAAAAGTTGCTATCAGTTTCTGAAAAACTGTCGATTTGGCAACATAGCGGATATCATGAACGGATTCACCGTTAAGCCTACGAATTTACAACAAAATTAGATACGTCGTTCGTCAGATACTCGATGCGTTCCAAACTTTTGTTGCAGTCCAAATCATTGATACTTATTCATCTCGTCAGGATCATGATCAGGAGTATCAAAAACGTCAAAAATTGTGTCTTTTTTTTTTTGCTTTGGCCATATCCTCACCGGCGATCTTATAAAATTATCCGTGCCATAATATGGTAACTCCAAACAGTTGTATTATCGAAATCAGAATCTAGATTGCTTGTACTATATGGTGCCTAAGGGCAAATTAACCGACTGATGTAGCTTCCCTAAGGAGCTTTATCTTCATCCGAAGTGAGGTTATTTGGAAGCTTTCATGAAAATAAATGCGTCGAGGGACTGATTACACAGAGAGAGCTGATTTACGACGTATTTCGCTAGGAATCCAAGTAGGGATATTCACTTGATTAAGTTCTTTTTGTCTTAATGAGGATCAAGGACAACAAATTCTTGGAAATTATTAGTAAATACAGCTTTTTTGGTTAGTCTCTCAAATGGACCAGATCGTCTTTAGTCTAAAGAAAGGAATTTGTATTCGTACAAATCGTAATGCAAGGAACAATATGAAAAACTGTGTGGTAGACATTGGAGTTCCCCAGGGTTCAATTCTTCCTCTTATATGTTAATCAGTTTGATCATACTCAGGCAAATACTCATTTTACAGCATATGCTGATGACATTTCTGCTATAACCTCCAGTAATTCAGAAATGATACTGGAAAATAAATGTAACCACTTAATTAGGAAGATCAATACGTGGTGCTCACTATATTTGGGGCCATCCAAAACGGCGCTTATTTATTTTCATCATGCACAAAAAACTGTAGAAGAGTTTCAACTTAGATTGTGTGACGATGAAATTGATTTTATCGGAGAAACGAGACTTCTTCGAAACTAAATTGGAATGCCCAGTGCGAATTTCTTCTTCCGAAGATAAACTCTCAAAGCTATGTATTGGGGCAATTAAGAACCCTCTTAACAACAGTTACAAGCAGGCGCGGATCCAGGGGGGACCCCCCCAGGCGAATTTAGTTCGAGCATCAATTTTTAAACTTCCAAATCTCTTAGATAAATCCGTAATGCACACATATTAAATGGATGCCGTACTGGTATTTTGTACTAAACACTGGCAGCACTGCATCCGTCAACTTTGATTTAACTGTAAGCGGATAGACTGGTTGCCTATGCGGTCAGCTTGATGTAGGAAACCCCCGAGACACAAATCCTGGATCCGCCGTTGATTACAAGTTCATTTTGCTAATGTGGATTCAAGATTGAGGTGTGGGATATGTTTCTGGGGTTGGTCAACACGCGCTGAAGATGTATTTGTATCACAAAAAAGATACATCCGATTATTGGCAGGAATATCACCAACAGAAACCTGCAAACAATATTTTATAGATTATAAAATTTTAACTATCCTTTCGTTGTATATGTGTGTATGAATTGTGTTCACATGCTTTTAGAATAATGATACATTTGAACGAAACTGTGACACGTATAATTATGATACTTGGAGTAGTAATAATTTATACGCAAGCTTTAGCAATTCAAAAGCACCTAATACAATTGAACGTTTTTAATAAGTCGATTAAAGATATCAACCGGTTCAAGATCCACTTGAAGCAACTTCTGATACACAAATGCGTCATGTTATTGATTTTTTGAACATTGTAATTCAAGATTAGTTGTAGCAAGTAGTCCTTCCATGTTCTTTGTCAAGTGAAGTGTCCTCGTCCTTCACCCTCCTACTTTTGCTTTGTTCTCAATGACGAGGCATGCGTCGTTGCTCGGGTTTCAAGGATTTTCTTCTTTGCAAACTTCCGGCCTACGGCCTTCCAGAGAAGCTTTACAGTTGGATTGGTAACTAATTAGGCGCTTCTATAAGGACAGCGTTTGAACAAAGGTATGTAAATGTTATACAAAATTTTTTTAGAGTAGCATTTATTCCAGAGCAAGGCGTCGCGCCAAGTATACCCAACTCTTGAAAAATTTAAGATATCACTTTTTCAGGATAGTCCAAAGATCAAAAAGATGCATAGAAAAATTTTCAAGATAAAAAATTGAGAGTCTGACATAGCCCCAAACTTTCCTAAAAAACATGACTTCCTTTGTTCACCTCGTATAAGTGGATAAATAAAAGAAATATACCGATCAAACCCTGTACGTATTCTTAAAGAGTTGGTCAAGAACCTCCCGAATAGCGCAGCTCGTTATCCCTTTCGGTTCCGAAAATACCGAGACTTGAATTTATGTAAAATTTCGTTCACCAGTTTAGTAGAAGGAATGAGAATTCAAATATTTTAACAAAAATTAAAAGCTTAAATAAATATTGCTATCCCCCAGGATGCAAGACAATACATTATCCTTTTATAACCGATTAAAAAGGTCAAGCATCAGAAAAAATTGATGGAAGGCAATAAAAATCAAATTGGCTTCACTACCATTATTTTATCATTTACAGCCGTTAACATTTTATATGTGTCTATCTGTGAAAATGCCACCTGTATGGGTGATCAAAATGGATAAGAAACTGTTAGGCTATAAAATATCTCGTGGATATACATACAAAGCCATTTCTTTTTTTTCCTCTAAATCCAATAATGCAAAATACAACGTCATCACCTTTGTTAAAAAGTTTCGCTTCGGCGATGTTAACAGAGAAACTTCGCTAAGTGCTTCCAATCCTGCTGTTTCTTGAACACTCCAGCAAACTTCGACTGAATCCCAACACGTATTTTCCGCCCCCATCCTATACCAAACACCCCAAGTTCACGTTGATGGATCGTTTTGTAATGACAGCACGTCTTTCATCTATTAATAGACTTCAAGCCATTAGAATTCTCTTTATAGGTGCAAACATAGTTAAGCTACCACTTAAAATTCTCCGGCAATCATAAGCAGACATGGGAAAAGTGTCAGCCGGTGGCGACAAGTTATTACAGGTAAAGGTTGCTTAGACGATGGATATGCATTTCAACTATGATTATAAAAAAGAAGCGGTCGAATATCTTCTAAGCTTGATATTCACCAAATTTTGAACAGGGATATAGGCGATCGTTTCCCATCAGGTGGTTTTAACCGCGCTGTTGTCAGATTTCCCATTTTTTTCGAGAACATCTACTTAAGAACATGTAACATAATCACGAGTCTAGTAATGGTCGAATATCTTGAGAAGTACTCGATCAATATCCCGCAAATTTTAATTAGCTAGATAACCGATAATTTGTATATAGATGGTAATAACTGTGATGTTGCAAATATTCCATTCTTTTGGGAACAACTCTATGTTTAAATTTAGGTGCAATAGTATAATTTTTATTAACGTATATTAACCCCCTAGTATTTCTTAGTATAACCTGAAAGTAGCAAGAATCCATCTAATATGCTTATGACAACACTGTCAAAAGTAGCTTTGTTTCTGAAGAAATGATAATACCGGCAACAATCTAATTATCACCATCTGAGCATCTGTCCAAATTTGAAACCTTTGATTATGTTGTCATATTCTCACTAGAGTTCTGCTATTTGCAGATTATATTGACGGATTCTGTGTTGCTAATATCCGATAATAAAAAAGATGCTACTGTGATCGAACTTAGCAAAGTAGTATTGCCTCTGACAAAAAAATAGATCTGGCAACAGCGCGGTTACGTTTGTGTGACACGGAACGATTGACTATTTTATTCAAAATTTGATTTATATCAAGCCACTACTTCCGGAGATATTGATCCGTGCTCAGACTTTTGACAGTGTTGCCAAATATCCATAAGTAAGCTAAACCCTATTTTACGAGAATTCATCACGTTTTGACGTCTACTGAGGTGAACAACTGATCAGCAAGTATTTTTCTGTAACGTTGTCAATGATGAATCGGGTGTAAATCTAGTAAACTTGCTTTTAGCGTTTCTTTGCATGCAATTGGACTTTTCTAAATAAAAGAGTGCAAAATGAATCTGTAGCGTAGTACAGAAAATCAAATACGGCTCTGTCTATCTGGGGTTGACGGATGCATCAGAATTGTGTGTCCTTTGTCGATATGGGTATTTGGAAATGTTACTAGATAATCAGCTGTCACTATTCCGTAATGGATAGTGAAAAAAACAATAGTTAGGGTCCTGATATTTGGAGGTTATAATAAGGGGCACTAGAGAGTTAGTTATAGAAATAAAAATTGTACCATTGCGTTCAATTCAAAAAATGAGGAATTCTTTTCGACAAACTGATG